AAAGTTTTTGGTCTATTAGCCTTCACCGTCTGCTGTGAAGAAAAAAACACAAAACCAAAATATAAAATACATGGCATAAAATAAATGACTTTAATGCAAAAATATAGTAAGGAATGCAGCCATAAAAAAGAACAAGATCATGTCCTTGTCAGGAACATGCATGCATGGAACTGAAGGCCATTATCCTTAGTGAATTAATGCAAGAAAACCAAATACCGCATGTTCTCACTCATAAATGGGAGCTAAATGATAAGAACACATGGACACAAACCGGGGAACAGCACTATCGGAGGGCAGAGGGTGGGAGAAGGAAGAGGATTAGGAAAAATAACTAATGGGTCTTACGCTTAAAACCTGGGTGATGAAGTATCTGTACAACAAACTCCCATGAGACAAGTTTACCTATGTAACGAACCTGCACAAGTGCCCCAAACTTAAAAGTTAAGTGTGTGTGTATATATATAGAGAGAGAGAGAGAAAGAGAGAGAGGAAATGTACTAAGACTTCAAGTTTTAAAAACCTAGAAAAATAAGAAAGTAAATAAAAGATGAATGTATGAATGTATATGGATGAAATGAATAAAGACAACAGTAATTAGTGATTCTAAAATCAAAGAAAAATGAGAATTAATAAAATGAAAGTGGTTCTTGAAAAGCTAAATAAAATGGCTAAACCCTTGGAAAGCCCAACTAAGAAAAAAATATAGATAACATTAGAATGAAAATGGAAATTTAAAACTACTATGAGATTAAGAGAATTACTGGAATAGTGAATACAACTTTTTATCAGTAAATGTTTAATATAGAGAAACAATTATTATGCTAAAAAAAACCTCTATATCTAAAATTACGGAAAGGCAGAATAAACGATCAGATCTATAACTATATTAGAAATTCAAGGTCAGGCATGGTAGCTCACGTCTATAATTCCAGGATTTTAGGAGGCTGAGGTGGGCGGATCACTTGAGACCAGGAGTTTGAGACCAGCCTGGGCAACATGATGAAACTCCATCTCTACAAAAAACAGAAAAATTAGCCAGGCATAGTGGGGCATGCCTGTGGTCCCAGGGAGGATGAGGTAAGAGGATAAACTGAGCCCGGGGAGGTCAAGGCTGCAATGTGCTGTGATCACGCCACTGCACTCCAGCCTGGGGAAGACAGTGAAACCATATCTAAAAAAAACAAAACAAGAAATTCAAATATTTGCTAATTTTCTACCATCTACCACTAAATAGGCTATCAAGCTTAGTTATTTTACAGACCAGCTGTGTACAGCCTATAAGGATCAGATAATTTCTATGATTCTTATTATCCCACAGCATAAAAAAGATGAAGCACTTCTAATATCTTTTTCAAAGGCAACATATAACCCAAATTTGATGTGAGAATAAAGAAAAATATTACTGAAAATGCTCACTTATAAACAGGTATATAATAAAATCCTGAATAAAATACCAGCAAATCAAAACCTGAAGCATAGAAAACAGGATTGTGACTACTGTCTGTGTGACCTTAGGCAAATTACTTCCCCTTCCTCTGTCTTAGTTTTTTCATCTGTAGCATGGTGATCATTACAGTACCTACAGCATGGGGTTGTTATAAAGATTAGATAGGTAAGTAAAAACTCCTTAAAATAGTGCTTGGCACATGGCAAATGCTCAGTAAGTGTAAACTATTATTACCCCAAGAACAAAAAGGCAACATAATCCACTGTGTTATAATTTTAAAGTGAAAAATAAAATTTATAAATGTGAAAACTAGGTAATTTTTGGCAGACATTTTTTAGAATGAAACAGATATAAAAACCAATCTCTTAAACATGAGAAAAGCCACAAATTATACTAAGTGTTAAAACACTGTTCATTCTCATTAAATTAAGTAATATAACAAAAATGTTCAAAGTTAGCATGATTTTCCATATTTTGGAGCTTACACTAATGCAATAATGTAAGACAGCAAATACTGGAAGAGGTGAGGTAATTATTTGCAGATGATATATAGGTAGAAAGTCTAAGTAAACCAATCTCTATTAGGATAAACGTGGTGAGAAATAAGCATAGTAAGAATCAAACAAGACAGTATGACACACTATATAACATTTCATTGCATATAAAATATACCCTGAATACTTTTGTTATTGTTGCCCACACTGCCCAGGCTGGAGTGCAGTGGGGCAAACATGGTTCACCGTAGCCTTGACTTCCCAGGTTCAGGCGTTCCTCAAACAATTGCCTCCTGAGTAGCTGGGACTACAGGCATGCACCACCCATACCCAGTTAATTTTTTGTTATTTTTAGTAGAGATGGGGTTTCACCATATTGCCCAAGCTCGTCTTGAACTCCTGGGCTCAAGATATCCTCCTGCCTCAGCCTCCCAAAGTGCTGGGATAAAAGGCATGAGCCACCACGCGTGGCATACCCTTAATATTATCTATTAACTAACTCAGCGGTATCTGTACCTTCTCATTCATCCAACCTAAAAATTTAGTATCTGCTAGACTCATCTCTCTCTCTTCACTCCTCACATCCAGTATCAGTCACCAAATCCTACCTATTTTCCCTCATATATATTTCTCAAATTTGTCACCTCTTTTCTATCTCCACCTCAATTATCCTGGTTATCCTTTAGAAAGCTCCAGAAACTTAGTGTCCCTCTTTCCAGTCTTATCCCCAAAATCATATTTCATTTAGCTGCCAGAGTAATCAACCTAAAAACAAACCTGACTAGACAAGGTGCCAGTTTAAAATCAGAGATTGCCATGGACTACAGGATGGAGTCCAAGTTTAAGGATTGTAAGGCCTTTGGTCATCGGGACCTAGACTTATCTGTTTGTTTTGTTTTGTTTTGTTTTGTTTTGTTTGACAGGATCTCACTCTGCCACCCAGGCTACAGTGCAGTGGCACAATCACAGCTCACTACAGCCTCAAGCGATCCCCCAACCTCAGCCTCCAGAGTAGCCAGGACTACAATTGAGCACAACCATGCCCAGCTAATTTTTCATTTTTTGTAGAGATGGGGTTTCACTATGTTGCCTAGGCTAGTCTCCAACTCCTGGGCTCAAGGTCTTTCTGCCTCAACCTCCCAAAAAGCTGGAAATTAAAGGCATGAGGCACTGCTCCTGGCCTCCTCTTCCTTTTCTTCCCTTTTTGAGGCCTAAAAGTATGGATCAGTGTTTTTCAAATTAGGATATGCAAGTATCTCTGATTAAAAATGTCAAGACTTAACACAGCTAGAAACGGTACATATTACTAAACTTACAACATCAATTTTGGTGAAGATTTTTTGAGAAAGACATTTGATATTAAATACAGAAGAGAATGCAAAATTTGTATGACTGCTTAAGTCAAAATCCAACAAAGATGGCACTGACAGCAGGCAACTCTGAGCATTACCCTGGGGTTCTGAATGGGGATGGTGCTGACACTCTTGTCAGTACAGATGAAAAGTCTAACACTATCAAACTCGGATCATTTGCCAATGAGCCACTGACTGTAACACTGAGAACTTAATTATGCCAGATGACAGCTGACACTTTATATTAATTCATTTTTAAACCATCTCCAAGACTGTATAGGACCTCATCTCTACTCCTCTCCTCCTCGTTCTTTCTACACTAGCCACATGGCATCCTTGTTGTTCCTGGCACACAGTGACCCACTCTAGGGTCTTCCTCTGCCATTTCCTGTCTAAAAACGTTTTCCCATAGAATACGGCTCCCTTTCTCAACTCCTTGAAGCACTTCCCCAGATGTTGCTTTCTTAATGAGGTCTATCCTGACCTCCCCATTTCCCTTATCAATTACCAACATTATTCTAGAGTAATAACATCTATTTTCCTCTTTATATCATTTTCCTTATTTATTGTGCTTATTATTTGGTCCCCTACCAGAATGTAAGTTGCATGCCAGTAGTATTTTTGTCTTATTCACTGAATCTATTGTGTCTAGAAAAGTGCTTAGCACATTGTAGATTCTCAATGAATGAACAGTCCTACGAAACAGGTATTTCTCTTGGCCAGATTTTACCTAAAGAAGATTCTGAAGCAGTGAGAGCTTGCTACAGTCACAGCGTCAAAGGTGGAGCTAGAATCTGTAAGCAACCTGGCTCTCTACTCTTCACCACTGCTGCATGTTACTGCATGGTGCCTCTCATTTATGTGGTGAATTTCAAAAATACTTTTTTCTATATTTCCCTTACTAGACAGCTCCCTCGCAGCAGGGGGATACTATCTTCATCTCTGTGCCCTGACTGGCAGTTTCTAACCCACGTTACACGCTCTATAATTGTCTACGGAATGAATGAAAGCATGAATGAACACATAAGCTACCCAAAGATTTTTACATGAAAGTCCCAACTGGTTAAATCATTTTTACCTTTCAGATTTCGTTTTAAACTTTTATAAAAAACAAAACCAAAACACCAAACCTGTCTTCAAAAATCTAGTAATTCAAAAAATGCTTTTTGAAGTGAAAAAACATGATTTCTAAAAAACGATTTAATTAAATGGAAATGTACCCTATTCTTAACCATTTCTACATTCCGGTTTTTAAAGCTTTATTCGACGTCAGGAAATATTAAGCAAAAACCTCCAAAACCAGTAACTGACTCGCTTCATTATATACACATGCAATAATATTAAGTTATCTCCGATCAAAAAAACGCAAATAATAGTGCCATTTTCGTAGACATTGAGAATTATAAAACAATCATGCCAGAGAGAAACAGACGCCTTCACTTACAAAAACTGACGCTAACGAAAACACCCTCCGGAGCAATACCTGGCCCAGGGTCAGCAGGAGGTAGCCTTCTCGAATAAATGTGACAAATACTATGGTCAGGGCATGACTAATTTGCCACATAATGCCAACGTCCATAGGTTGACTCTGAGAAACTACCATCCCCGGGCAGAAGGGGCGGGTGTAGGAGAGATTTAAAAACGAGGCCCCTCCCAGGCCGCCTCAAAATCTAGGGCCCAAAGATTCTTCTCCTCGGAGCTCCTCACCGTGTCTAGACTAGGGGCAAGCGACCATTTCTCAGGTAGAGGATGACGCACAAAGGAAAAACTGGCCATCCAGCATGAAGGACGAGGAAGCGCACGAAAACAGAGCGCACAGCTGAACGAGGAATCCCCTTCGCCTAACCGATTCCTCTCCCGAGAAATCGCGAGATTTCTCGCCTTCACGGGATCTCAAGGCGAAACCTCGCGGCCTCTCAGACGAGGGTGGGTTAGCAGGGGCAGCTCCCAACCCCCGTCCCGGACCCACATAACACCTCGACCCCTGGCCCACCCCGGCCGTCACCGAGAACGGTCCCCCAGAGTGCCTAGGTTCTTCCGGAGCCCGACCGGATCCGGAAGCTTCTGGGAACGAGGGGGTGGGACCGAAAAAAATCAAAAAAAGCGCGGCGAAAGCTAAAGGCCGGCGCAGGCTGAGAGGTGGTGGTCCGCAAGCCGCGCCGCGGCCGGTGCGATGGACTCTGCTGCCTGCTTGAAGTCCTTGCTCCTGACTATCAGTCAGTACAAAGCCGTGAAGTCAGAGGCGAACGCCACTCAGCTTTTGCGGCACTTGGAGGTGAGAGGCTCTAGGGTGGAGGACAGATGGGGCTTCCCTAGTAATTCTTAGTTCACAGTGAGGCCGAGGAGTGGCGGCCTCAGCCTGGGAAAGAAAGGACGGTCCTTCGATCCGTCTGTTGTCTTTTCGTACTGATAAAGACGAGTGAGTGTCGGGGTTCCGCTGGCCGCAGCGAGAGGCAAGAGCACCCACTGAAGGCTCTAGGAAAAGTGGGAGCGGAGCAAAAGGTTGGGAAGTTTAGGCTGTGTTTCGAGTAGGTAACGGAAAAAGCTCGGAGCTTTATCTTTTCCTTTGTTTCTAGTTTTGGTTTTTCTACGAAACCAAGCCTTCAATACACAGCTATTCTCAGTGACGGAAAGTCATGATTAAAACTTGGTTTTCCTCTTCGGTAATCTATAATTGAATTTGTTGCTTCCTGCTCTTATTTGAACTCGGGTTGAACTCAAACTTGAAAAACATTACTTCAACCTTAAGAAGCAGTTCCCCTTCCTAGTAAGCGTAATCCTTTTTCTTTACCGAAATACGTTGCTCACAGTTTTTTAATCCTAGAATGCTGAATTGTCTTTTTTTCTGTTAGTTCTAGTGATATGTGTTCTGACGATACCATTTGTTTTAGGATCTTAATCTTCTGCTGTCATTTGTTTTGCATTTACGGAATTCAGACTAACATTGACCTCAGTTTAATTTTTTTAAAGCTGAGTTAAGGCTTATTTTAACTCTCTGTGTCACAGCTTTCTTCTGTTAAGACAAAATTGAACATAATTTTAAAATATATTGTATTTGTTATATTAACCCTATGACAAAAGACTAATGTGCCAAAGATTTGTAAAATATTACAGAAAAAAAAATGATTTCAAGTAGTAGAGCAACAGCAGGTGTTAGTGAATCTGCTGTGGTATTAAATGTGTCTGTCTTTTCTTGAGCTTCACTGGTGCTCCTCTTCTCCCTACTTCACATGCCCATCTCCTAAGTACATTTGTTTTCTATTTTTCATTCATTACTTAAGAAGTATCTGCAAACCTAATAATTAAGATGTTAGCTATTAAATGCTTAAGGCTTTGCTTCTGAATTAGCATAGACTCCAGAAGCCGCAGAATAAACAGGGCCGTCAGTTTATTTTAAAAATTGGGAGTTAAGCATTTTGTATGCCGTTCTGAAACATTACCTTTCTTTGAATAAACAGGTAGGTTGTGCATTGAAAGAGATTTAAGGCCAGGCACAGTGGCTCACACCTGTAATCCCAACACTTTGGGAGGCCGAGGCGGGCGGATCACCTGAGGTCGGGAGTTCGAGACCAGCCTGGCCAACATGGCGAAACCCCATCTCTACTAAAAATACAAAAATTATATGGGCGTGGCATCTCTCTGTTGTCCCTGCTACTCGGGAGGCTAAGGCAGGAGAATCGCTTGAACTCAGGAGGCTGAGGTTGCAGTGAGTCGACATCGCACCACTGCACTCCCAACACTCCAACATGGGTGACAGAGCGTGACTCCGTCTCAAAAAAACAAAAAAAAGAGAGAGACTTAAACAAAATATGGGATGGGGCCTTTACTGTATTCCTAAACATTCAAGGGGTTTACAGAAAACTCTTCTACCGTTGTTGCAAAGGTATGAAGAGCACTGGCTTCAGGTTACTACTACAGAGGACTGTTTGTAATTAAGAGATAACACATACAGAGCATAAAGTGCATTAATCTTAAGTGAAGAGTTTGATAGTTTTTAATATATAGGTACCGTAGCTACTATATTGGTAGCTAACATATAGGTAGAGTAGTAGTTACCACCTGTACCATGATATAGAATATTTCTAGCCCCATAGGGTTTCTTCATTGCCCCTTCACATAAGGTTCAGGTAAGTAGACTCATACAGTATGTACTCTTGTGTCTGGCCTTTTCCACTCAATATAATCTGTGAAATTCATGTTGCACAGGTACCACTACTTCATTTCTTTTTTATTATTATTGCTATGTAGAGTTCTATTGTATAAGTGTACCACAGTTTACATATACTTGCCTGTTGATAGGCCCTTGGGTTGTTTACATTTCTGGGTGGAATTATGAATAAAGCTGTTGTAGACATTTCATACATTTCTGTGGATATACGCACACATTTATATACTTACGAGTAGAATTGTTAGAGCATTGAGAAGGCCTGTGTTCTGTTTTAGTTGAAACTGTCAAACAATTTTCTGAAATAGGCCATTTTACCTTCCCACTAGCAATATGTGAAATTTGCCATCACTCATCCACACCAATCCTTGATGTTTTCATGTTTCTTAACTTTAACCATTTTGGTTGACAGTATTTGTAGTTTTAATGGTGAATGTCTTTGTGCAGACTTCATGAGTGCGAGATCTGAGTATGCAGAGAGAGATAGGTATCATGTGAAAGGAGATTATTCATTCTTCTGTACTTCTCCCACCCTTTTTTATAGCCCCATGCAGAGTGTAGGCTTGAATGTTTGATGACTGGCAAAGCTGAGCTAATCTGATTTTTAATGATGGTATTTCATAGCACTAATTTTGTGTAGTGATTAAAAGCATGAATTCAGGGACCAAGCTGCCTGGGTATGAATTCCAGTTGTGCTTCTTTACTATCAGTGTGTGCCTCAGTTTACTCATCTGCAAAACAAAATAGTGGTACCTACCTTACAGGGTTATTATGAAGATGAAAAGAGTTCACATATGTAAAGTGCCTAGATCGATGCCTAGGCCAGAATAAGCGCTATATAAGTATTAGTTATTATTAAAATAAATTATCTTTGTATTAAGACATTCAGTGTATATGAGTAAAGGGAAAAACTTGTAAAGCAATTTTTATTTTACCTAGTACATACAATTATTATGTGTTAGACAATTTATGTCATTGAGATACAGGACCAATCCTGTAGAGAATCATTTTTAAAACACAAAATGTCTTCCTCTGGAGAGCTAGATTTATAAATAAGCAACAGGGTCGTGCCCAGAGTATTTCCTACCCCTGAATATCTGTTACTGATGTCTGTACTTTCATATTTGAACTTATTTTTTCTCTTATAGACTTTTACTTTAGTAATGTTAAAACACTCCCTGGGAACAGATAATATGAAACTTTTATCAGCAAAGCTTTAGAAGAAAAACTGATGTGGGTGAGAGAACAAAGGGAGGATACAGAAAGGAAAGTTTAGAGGGATGCTAAAGCAGCCTACTTAGGCTTGATCTTATTAAAATAAGTATTCAGGACAGATTTAGTCTTATTCTAAGGTAACTAATGGTTTTTCTATCTTTGTAGAAAAGATATGCTTTATAATAAATACATCTCTAAAGTGTGTTGAAAATTCATTCTTTGTGACAACTGCTTTTGGCCTTCAGTTCCAACTTTACCTCCTCTCTTCTCTCTCACTCTGTGTGTGTGTGTGTGTGTGTGTGTGTGTGTGTGTGTGTTTGTGTGTCTGTGCATGCATGTATGTGACTTACAGATTACAAGAAAGTAAAAGAAAATGGAATAATCAGAAATAAAATTTTTCAATGCTTTGCCTACTACTTCAAAAAAGATTCACTTTTCACCTCCTTCTTTGTACTCCCTTAACTTCTGAGCTCACCTATTGTCTTTGGGAAGGAGCAGAAGGAATAATTCCATAGCTACCCTCTGGGCTTCATTTTTCATTTTTCTCCCTCAAAGTGAGTAGAATGTACTAGAATTTATTTGCAAAGTAAATATATTGGTAGTAGAGTGCAGATTTGTAGGCTATGCCTTCATTGCATGTTCAATGTAGTGTGAAGGAGAAATATTGCCAGGAACTCAAAAGTTTGCTAACTTAGGAAATAGAAATATAATGTACTGTAGGGTAGTATAATAGGCAGACCTAACCGAGATAGTGTAAGAAGCTAAGAAAAGCTTCCTGGTGGAAATTATTTTAAACTGAGATCCAAATGATTACTTTAGCTAGTGAGGGAGGGATTAGGGAATTGATAGGTAATCTAGGCAGGGGTGAATTTTTCACAACGTGTGAAATTTTTAAATTGGGAAGGTAGCAGTGGCACTTTGAAGGAACTGAGTTTATTTGAAATGGAGAAGAGATAAAAATTGCCATCTCTTAACCAACACATTTTGATTACTATTTTATAGGTAATTTCTGGACAGAAACTCACACGACTATTTACATCAAATCAGATATTAACAAGTGAATGCTTGAGTTGCCTTGTAGAGCTACTTGAAGACCCCAACATAAGTGCTTCACTGATCTTAAGTATTATTGGTTTGCTGTCTCAACTAGGTAATGCATTTAATTTCTCTTTTTTAGTTTTTGGAAGATGTATGAACAATATTTTAAAGTGCAGGCTTAGTTATAGAATCTCTTAAAGAATGATTCACCTTCAAAGACTTCTCAATCTAATGCTCATTGTGAATCTTTTGAAAGAGGGAAATATTTTATGCAGCATTTCTAAAAATATTGGACCAAGGAATCTGAAGCGTGTGAAAGGTTCAGTGTTCTACAGAGACGAATGCACTTTGGGAAATACTGGACTACTTTCGAATTAAAAAACAAAACTCCACACGTAATGTCAGTATTAAATACACCACTAGAAAGTCATAGCTACTGATCAAAGAATCATCTTCTGTAATAGATTACACTGAATTTAGAACTAAAGGTAAAAGTACTGATGTTGGTTTTTCTATCTTTTCACCATATCTTTAGTTGTTTTCTTTTTTTTAAGACAGAGTCTCGCTCTGTTGCCCAGGCTGGAGTGCAGTGGCGCAATCTCTGTTCACTGCAAGCTCTGCCTCCCAGGTTCACGCCATTCTCCTGCCTTAGCTTCCCGAGTAGCTGGGACTACAGGTGCCCGCCACCACACCTGGCTAATTTTTTGTGTTTTTAGTAGAGACGGGGTTTCACTGTGTTTGCCAGGATGGTCTCAATCTCCTGACCTTGTGTTCCACCTTGGCCTCCCAAAGTGCTGAGATTACAGTGTGAGCCACTGCGCCTGGCCTGGTTTTTGAATGTTCATTTAGTCGTCACTTTACCCCAATTTGGGGCAGGGCAGTAGGGATATTTCTTTGTGTGATTATAATAATAATATATGCATAGTTTAAAAAATTCTAGTGATCCAGAAGTATTAACACAGAGCAGCATTGAACAATAGAATTTTCTTCAGTGACAGAATGGTTTTAAAACTGTGTTATCCAATATAGCAGCCACTAGCCACATGGAGCTATTAAGCATTTGAAGTGTGGATAATGGACTAAGGAACTGAATCTTTAATTTTAATTAATCTCAATTTAAATAGCCACATGAAGGCTAGTGGCTGCCAAATTAGACAGCCCAGACATAGAGTAAAATGGGATTAGCCTGTACCCATTACCACCAGCCCTCATCTTTTCAGCTTTGGGGATATAATCTCATTTCATGGCTTGATATGTTTCTTTGCAGATATTTTCCTATGCTGTAACAAAACAATAATTTTGGATCTTTAATTGGTTGTTTTTAGCACAAATGGTGTTGCGGAACACCAGATGTTTCTTTCCATATCGGTATCTGTAATAGCTGCCTAGTGCCATAATTACAGGGTACTGTAATTTATTCAACTATTCCCCAATAGTGGACACTCAAAGTTCTTTAAGTTTTGGTATTGGAATCAATAGTGCAGTGAACATTCTATGTAATTTTGCTCAAATATTAGTGTGTTTCTATTAAATTCCTTTAGAATTTCTAGATCATTCTAAAATTTGATAACCATTACTAAATTGCTTTCCAAAAAGATTCTTCCACTTCTAACATCCACCAGCAGTTTGAATGAATATGCCAGTCACTTCCAACATTTATACTTTAGAAGCATTTGGAGTTTACAGAAAAATTGAAATGATAATCTTTTAAAATTTTTTCACAGATACATAATATGTATACAAACTTATGGGGTACATACGATATTTTGTTACCTGCATAGAGTATGTGATGATCCATTCAGGGTATTTAGGATATCCATCACAAACAAGGATTTATCATTTCTATGTATTTAGAACATTTCAAGTCTTCACTTGTAACTATTTTGAAATATACAATACATTGTTAGCTATAGTCACCTTACTCTCCTATCAAATATTAGAACTTATTCCATCTGATTGTGGTTTATATCCATTAACCAATCTGTCTTCATCTCCCCAACTAACGGCTCCCCCTCCTCACCCTTCCCATCACCACATACTCACCCATATTCTTCCCAGCCTCTGGTAACTTTCCATGAGATCAACTTTTTTAGCTCCTACACATGAATGAATACATGCAATATTTTTCTTTCTGTGTCTGGCTTATTTCACTTAACATAATGGCCTTCAGTTCCACCCATGTTGCTGCAAATGACATGCATTCTTTTATATAGCCAAATAGTATTGCGTTGTGTAAATATACCATAAAGTGACAATCTTTTAATATTCAAAGTAAGAGATTTTAATTTGATACTAAAATAAATTAGTATCAAAGAAAAAGCTTGCTACAAATGTGTAAAGTTTTTTCTTTGATACTAGTTTATTTTACATACAGAAATCATTTGAATTTCTGAATTAGAGGGTTATGGAAAAGAAAATAGCCATATCATACCTTTTTAAATGATAAAGTCATATGAAATAAATTCTGTATGAATTATCTGTGGAAACCTTATAAGAAAATGATATATTTTGTGCTATTTTATTTTAACTTACAGCTGTAGACAATGAAACCAGAGATTGTCTTCAGAATACATATAATCTGAATAGTGTGCTGGCGGGAGTGGTTTGTCGGAGCAGCCACACCGATTCGGTGTTTTTGCAGGTATACACACCCACACAGTATATTCCCCTTTCCTTATTGTCAGATCAAAATTGATAGTTTCTGTCATAAACTGCTGACTTACAGTGTATATGTGCTATGTAATAAATACTACGTAATTAGGCACAGTTCATCTGATTAAAAGTTGGTTGCACACATACTGCAATTTAAATATTTCTGGAGAAGAGGAGCTTATCCATTTCCAGCACCATTATTGAAGAAAAACAAATCTACATTGTAACTGCTTTGACTTATAAACACAGATGTCTGTGTTTTGAGACGTAAGCTATTTATATTAAAATTGTAATGTGAGTTGGCATCTAGTCTCAGTCTGTGGAGGAAACGTTCTACAAAAATTAAAGCTATAGATATAGTTTATTTAATATAGATTCAAAGCTCTTCATATTTCATTGACTCTAAAATGTCATCGGTTGTAAGAAAGAAAAACATCACAAATTAAATTGACATGCAGTTTTGGAGATGATAAAATGTGAAGAAGGGTATCTTCTAATTGATGGACTACATGTGTTTCAACCTGCATTCAAGTTTAAGATGACTAAGTGAACAAGGTTGATAACCATGTTCTGAGACAGAATATGTAGAAATGTGTGAATTGAGAGAAGAGCCCTAAAGTTCTTGCATTACTTTATATGTGTTTTTTAAAAAAATTGTTTTAGGAAATGGAAAAGGACATGCTCAGAATGTGTCTGATAGTCCATTATTTTAAGCAGGCGATGTTTTTATATGTTTATATTTATAACTATTTTCTTATTCTCAGTGCATTCAACTTCTACAGAAGTTAACATATAATGTCAAAATTTTCTATTCTGGTGCCAATATAGATGAATTAATTACATTCCTGATAGATCACATGTGAGTATGCAATCAAACATAAAACCAAATAGTCTATTTGTTTATTTTTAAACTATAACCATGTGGTAGATCAATTTCCTTAGATAACATTTTCTAACTATGTAAACTGAGTGAGACTCCGATTCTTATTTGTTCTGCCCAGATGATTTTAAGGATCAAAAGTTGTAAAAGTATGTGACCTCATTCATTGGTGAAAAAATGTAAAAAGGAAAAAATTGTAAAGCAGCTTTAATTTTCATAAGAAAAATGTATGGACTGAATTGATTTGGCCAGAAAAAAATTGCTGAAACTGAAAACTGTGTAGTTATTCTTGTAGGAAAATATACTGATGAAACAGCACGTGGTCCACGCTGACAGTTATTTCCGGGTTTTCATGATGGAATTGAATAGGGTAATTTGGTTTTAAAACAAGAGATAAATGATCAATACTGTTTAGAGTTTCCCTGGCTTCTCATGTTAATTAGATTTTTTTTTTTTTTTTTTTTTTTTTGGCCTGTAGAAAGGAATTGAAAAGTATAAACTTAACTATATCATTTTGACTTAGAATGACGTTAATGCTTTTTTTCTTTTACTATTTTTTCTTTAAACAAAACACCAATGTAAAACAACAGTCAATCTTCTGAAGATGAGTTAAAAATGCCTTGTCTAGGATTATTGGCAAATCTTTGTCGGCACAATCTTTCTGTTCAAACACACATAAAGACATTGGTAAGAAGTTTATTTCTTTTTAATTTTCTTGTTTTATGGTAGATTCTCTGCTTAAAGAAAATTGTGTTTATCTTTTTCTTTAAAACAAAGTTGAACAAGGATTCTGTGTCTTACTGGCTGACCCATCAAAATTAAGAGTCAGATTGACATATAAATAACTTGAAGCACTTCAGCCTTCCTGTATGTTGTATTGAAGACTGTGTGTTAAGGGTTAATGCAAATACTTAAGTTTTCCTTAGCATGGCATCCCAAAATACACTGAGTAGTACAAGAATTACTAAATTATTTTGTGCTCTTAGAAGGGAGGCACATCACTGGCAGTCCCATGTACCTCAGTCTTGTGTTTCTACAAAATCAATGGCAACTCCAACAGAAAGATTCATGAGTTTAGTGCTCAGTGTGAACCAACAGTACTTGTGATAAGTGAAGACACACAAATGAATTTAACTGAGTCACTTTTAGAAGTATATTAAATCGGCCGGGCACAGTGGCTCACACCTATAATCCCAGCACTTTGGGAGGCCGAGGTGGGCGGATCACAAGGTCAGGAGATCGAGACCATCTTGGCCAACATCGTGAACCCCGTCTCTACCAAAATAAAAAAAATTAGCCAGGCGTGGTGGCACACACCTGTAGTCCCAGCTACTCGGGAAGCTGAGGCAGCAGAATCGCTTGAACCCGGGAGGTGGAGGTTGCAGTGAGCCGAGATCGCGCCACTGCACTCCAGCCTGACGACAGAGTAAGACTACATCCTAAAAAAAAAAAAGTATATTAAATCAAGCAAGTTAGTGATTCTTTAAGGTGCTTTGTGAACAGTTTCCCTGCTGTGCTATTCAGCATTACCTGTTTGATTTTAAATTTAATATCTCACTTGTTCAAGTGCTACATTTTTCTACCCTGGTCCTACTTTGTAGGTGGAGTTACTGTGTGTGTGTGTGTGTGTGTGTGTGTGTGCGCGCACACACGTATGTATAGTGTGTGTTTTTCAATTTCTGAATTGAAAAAAAGTTCATATTTAGGAAACACTTAAATATAAAGAAGAATAAACATTTAAATGCTCATAGTTCCACGTGTAGAAACTGTTCTTCACCAAGATTGTGTCTATCTATACGACTGTCAGCAATATAGAAAGTACCCATCTCGCTCACACCTGCAATCTCTTAAATCTAAATGATAATCAGCAGCAAATATGGCAAAGTTAATTGCTGCTCCACGATGTGTAATGTAAAACAAATTCTTAAATTTGAATATTTTTTTGCTTCCACCACAATTATGAGTTCCTCATTATAGTTCTTTTGTTAACACAAGTGCTGAACAACTTTTCCTGCAGTATTTAAGGTAGCTCTTTTGTTTCCGCTCTGCATGTATCCCTTTATTAGAATTGACACCCTGATTTACCATCATTGAATTATTTATTCTAAGGTGACAAAACTATGGAAATATTTATCTCCCACTCATTTGCACACATTTACCAAATTTTTTTTTTCTGGGTACCCTGTTTATAACAATTTTTTAATTTAAATTTATCTCTGATCTAAATGTCTCCTGTAAAACATTTATCTTTTAAATGCAAGAATCATTTAATAGAGTTGATAATGATGTTTAAAAAGTTTGCCCACTCTGTGCAGGATATACTTTTTAAACCAAAATATAAGATTTATAATTCTAATTTATTTTGTAACTTTTTTTTTCTCAGAGTAATGTGAAATCTTTTTATCGAACTCTTATCACCTTGTTGGCCCATAGCAGTTTAACTGTGGTTGTGTTTGCGCTTTCAGTATTATCCAGTTTGACATTAAATGAAGAGGTGGGGGAAAAGGTAAATACGATTTTTCAAATTTATTCTGAAGTTTCTAGTCTTATATTTTAAAAGTCATTGAGACTTTTTTATTTTTACCTTTTAGGATGGTGTCAACTTAATTTTTTATGTAATATGCTTTTCTAATTTGTCCTTAAGCTATTCCATGCTCGAAATATTCATCAGACTTTTCAACTAATATTTAATATTCTCATAAACGGTGATGGCACTCTAACTAGAAAGTATTCAGTTGACCTACTGATGGATCTCCTTAAGAATCCTAAAATTGCTGATTATCTCACCAGGTATGACTCACTTCAGTCAATTTTAGAACTTTTTTTTTTTTTTAATCAAGATGTGTTGGTTATAAACGAAATTGTCTTCTTATAGTAAACTTGGAGTCTACTGACTTGGAGTCTACTGACTTCGAGTCTACTGACTTGGAGTCTACTGGACAAAAATGTTTTGATGTGCTTTACTCGCACTCTTTTTTCTTTCCTATACTGAAATGGAAAGTATAACAAAGTCATTGTCTATGTGTGTATTTCAGTCTTTGCTTTAGATCAATAGGGTTGTGCCATTCTTCAAAATATAGACATCTTGGCTAATTTATTTTAAAACCAGTTTTAAAACTTAAGCAGCATTATGATTATTTGAAAGAATATTTTTATTATAGGGACAATAAAAATATTTCTACATAAATTATAAATAAATGAAACATAGTGTTGAAACATTGATGTCATTATGTTTGTGTCTTTATTTTTTGTATAAAAATGGATAATGTTTCCTTTGGTGTGTGCCTCTTTTCATAGGTAAAATAGGAACACATGTTCATATGTCCTTTCTACCTCAGTATATTTCATATGATCATTTATGTTTTAAGATCAGGTAGTAATTGTGTTCCAACGAGCCTGTGACCTTTTTGCATGCTAAGTTAAATTTTGCTGGGGCCTATGCTGCTTTGTCATCCTAAATTAGGAAATAATTGAAATTGTTTCAAAGAGTTTCACATACAAGAAAACATTTACTGAGCCCTACCTATGATCAGGCACTTAGCAGCAACAGGCTGTGAAGACACAGTCCCTGATGTTTAAGAAACATAGAATCTGACAGTTTTATTTTAATAAAAGCTAAGCACTAGGGCAAACTCGACCACTGTTCATATGGCTCAGCTGATTTTTGCAAAACCAAGAAGCATTCACTTTAGCATTTCACTTTTTCTTTTCTTAGGAACCTCTAGATAGGTGAGCTTTTTCTTGCAGAGTGCCTTCCCATGACCTGCCTTCTCTTCATCTGTTGTGAGACTTTCCCAATATCCATGTATATTTATTCTAGCCACCAGAGAGTGCTTATTCAGCATCTTCATAGTAAACAGAAAAATTCTTTTGAATAAACCTCTTCTGGAAGACTAGAAGATAATCCAGTTTAGCATAAATAAGAGGTTGCGTAATCATTTCTTCTGTAAATCTTTCAGTTCTATTATCTATTTTATACTCTATCCATCATAGAACCCCAGAATTACCTCTGGCAACTCCTCTTGTTTATCTGGTATGCCATTGAACAATAACTCAGTCCTGAATCTCTTCCAAAGTCAAACTTACTGCATGGTTACTAATTAGAGCTTGAGAAAATCACACAACTTTACCTGGGCCAGACCTCTCATATTTACTTGTCAGCTTTCTCATTTCTTTCAATGGATCCTCAAATTTATTTATTTAGAGACAGAGGCTCACTCTATTGCCCAGGCTGGAATGCAGTAGTGCGATCCTGGCTCACTGCAACCTGCGCCTCCTGGGTTCAAGTGATTCTCTTGCCTCGGCCTCCCATGTAGCTGGGATTACAGGCACACATCACCATGCCCAGCTAATTTTTGTATTTTTAGTAGAGAAGGGGTTTCACCATGTTGGCCAGGCTGGTCTTGAACTCCTGACCTCAAGCGATCCACCCGCTTCAGCCTCCCAAAGTGCTGGGATTACAGGCGTGAGCTGCTGGCCCGACTGGTCTTTGAAATTTTTTATTTTTCTCTTGCTGCCTTTTATGCAGAAGATGACCTTATCTTTGTTTCACAGAAAGAAAAAAAACCCTAAATCGTGCCCCATTTGATTGGAGCTCCCCCAAATCCTTGCCACTTAACAAACTTACCTATGTTTATACCAAATTCTTAGTTTCATCCTGGTTTTACTCATAAATATGTACTGTTACTCTATGGATTGTCTGAAATTGTCTTTTCTGAAGCTGTTGCTCCTCTCTCTTCAGGGCCTCCTATTCAGTTGATCCTTCCCCTTTATAAATATGCTCAAAACTTTTTCTTCAACCAGATGTCCCTTTTAAAATCTTTGGCCTACCATTGCATTCAAGGTGAATATCCAAATTTTCAGTATAGCCCTTCAAAATCTGTTCCGTAACAACCTCTCAACCTTATTTCTTCATACATTTTGTTTTTTTGTCTAATCATATCAGACAATAAATAGAACTTCTAGCTTACTAGAAATGCCCTTTCATGTATCCATGTGCTATTTCCTCTAGAGTATTCCCTCCGGAAGACTAGAATGCTTTCTCCTTTATATTTTGTTTTTAAGACTCGAGTCTGGGTTTAATACTGAGACAATATTCTTTGTTCCATAGTGTCCCATACATTCCTCCATGATATCATTGTGTTTTATATTACCTTGTATTATCTCTTTCTGTCCTTCTCCTTCATCTTCAGACTGTGATCTCCCTGTCAGGGCACCATCTCCCAAATCTAGGATACATCAGTCACATAGAGTATAATGCTAGGGGTACCTCAGTACTTCTTGGAGTTGTGTAACATGAGTTGCTGCTCCTTACTTCTTTATTTGCAGAGACTAATTTAATGCCTGGCAATTTTAGGTGCTTTATAAAAAGTAGCTGTATAATTTGTTAGGATATTCTTCTGTCCTTTGAATTTTTACGTAAAGTGAACACAGTCTTAAAAAAATACAGCAATTGAGGCACTGAAATTTTTACTGATTTATTTATTGCCACATGAATCACTGTTTTAATAAATGACAGAGCCAATTCATTTATATCATAATTGTAAGATATATGACAAGTTTTAAGTATAAACTTTACAAGAGTGTGTTCTTTATTAGAAGCCCAAATAAATAGATGAAAGAAAATACACATATATTTTATGTTTATCTTGTAGATAAATCCCTTTTGATATATCAATTTTATAATTATCATTTGATGTATATTTTTATTTTAAACCTAGATATGAGCACTTTTCTTCATGTCTTAATCAAGTGTTAGGTCTTCTTAATGGAAAGGATCCTGATTCCTCTTCAAAGGTATGTAAAAACAAGACTTTTCATTTAAACTTTTAAAAAACTAAAATGCAGAAAAATCCAAATGCACAGGCTCTCTATATTTTTACAATATGGACATAATTATGTCGCCAGTGTCTAGATCAGGATGTAGAATGTTACCAGTATTTGTGATCCCTTTTAGTCAGTACCTACCCCTTCCTATTCCTTACTTTACCAAGGGTAACTGCTCTAACCACTACACTGACTTCTAACAGCATACATATATGTGTATATGTATGTACATATACATATATGTGTGTATATGTATGTATATATACATATATTTTGGAACTTTATGTAAATAGAAGCATATAATACATATATTTTCTGTCTAGACTTTGGTTCAATATAATATGATGAGATTCACTCGTTTCATATAGTTGTAGATTGTTAGATTGGTTCTTTTTTTGGACAGGGAGTATGATTTATTGGTGAGCATGAGTAAGGGGACATTACAGTGAACGCCCTCTTGGATGTAGTGCTCACCACTTGTCCAGGGGCCACATTTTGGGATGTATTTGACCTTACAGCCATCTGGGATGAGTCACTTCTCAGCCTCCATGTCTTCAAATTTATCCACATTAAATTTGCTAAAGCCCCACTTTGAAATGTGGATCTTTGGGCAGCCAGGGACCTTGAACTTGGCCCTGCGTGGGGCCTTAGTTGCATGCTCCTTATTTTGCAGATTTGTGTGGATGGACATGATGACTTGGCCACTGTGAACCCTGGCCACTGTGCCCTGGGGGCTTTCCAAAGACACCTTGCGTAATACCTCTCCGAGGCCTAGATGGGGGACAGCAGGGATCAGAGACATGAATGTACATTGGAAAGGGCTGTCTCTAAGGTTTCTTAGGCCAACCCATACAAGCAACAGGCTGTGTACACTACCAATGAGGCAACTGTTTGCAGCCATTGCACACTGGGCCCCCAGGAGGAAAGGAGCACAATTGGTGTTCTTTTGTTTATGAACGTCAGCTGTTACGAAGAAACCTGCATTTACCGTTTTCTGCATGTCTTTTGGTGAGCTTATGGACATGCTTGTCTTAGCTTTATATCTAGGAGTGGAATCACTATGTCATAGGATATACATATGTTCAGTAGGCACTATGAAACAGTTTTCAAAAAAAGTCAGTTGGACCAGTGTATGAATATTTGGTCAGTCTGCATTCTTGCCAGCAGTTGATATTTTTCACTTTTTCATTTTAGCAATTCTAATGGCTATACAGTAGTATTGCATTATAATTTTAATTAATATTTTATTAGTAAAAATATCATTTTTCATATTCATTTGTCATTTGTATATTCTTTGACGTGCCTGTTTATGTCTCTTGCTCATTTGTTTAATGTGTTGTCTTTTACTTATAAGTAGGAAGAGTTATTTTGGAGTCTTTTGAAGGGTATATAACATGCAAATATTTTCTTCCATTCTGTGAGTTGCCTTTTTACTCACCTAATGGTGCTTTGATTTTAACATAGATCAATTTAGTGTTTATTGTGTTCCATTTAGGAACTCTTGGCCTATTCCAAAGTCACAAAGATGGACTCCATTGTTTTCCTCTAAAAGCTTCCTAGTTTTTTTTTAACTTTCACATGTAGATCTGTAATCCTCCTACAAGTGACTTGTGTCTGTTGTGAAGCAGGACTTTTCCAGGTCAGCCTTTACCTTACAGGTTTTTACAGAAGAAAAAAATTAGAATGACTTTGAACTGATCATTTGCAACAATGATCCAAAAGATGGTAGAAAGGTTGAAACAGTACAAAATTTGTTACTTAACAATATTTTCTTTTTATTTTGAACCCTAGAATTTCTAAATTCCTTTCTCATATGCAATATGAGAACTATTTCTAATTAGTATCTAACTGGATCTTAATGAAGTGACTCTCATGCAATATGAGAACTATTTCTAGTTAGTGTCTAAATGGATCTTAATAAAGTGACTAGGAATTTGTAATATAAATGCTAAATAAGGATTATTGGAATAGAAACACACAGCAAGGGAAAAATCTAATAAATCTAAAGGTATTAAACAATCTCAGGGAATTTAGGAGGTCAGGTAGCACAGGGGAGTAGAAGCATTCTATGGGTATCAAAACCTGAAAGAGAATGGAAAAGTAAAAAATAAAAATAAATAAAAACTTAAAACTTAATTTTTTAAAGTAAAAAATAATTCACGTTATAGAAGTGGGGAGCAGTGAAAGCAAAATACATCTTGGTGGGGAAGATACAGTTGAGTGTCTTTTTAAATGTATAATAGTGTATAGTGTCTTTGATTATAAGGCCAGTATAACCTTGATAGCAAAACCTGACAAGGATACTACAACAAATGAAAATTATAGCTCAATATCTTTCATGAACATATTGCAAAAATTCTAAACAAAACATTAGCAAATCAAAATCAGTGACACATAAAAAGGATCATGTCTTATTACCAAATGAGGTTTATTCCAGGAATGCACAGATGGTTTAACATTTAGAAATTAATATAATTTCCCACATTAACAAAAAAACAGAAAAATTATATTATCTCATTAAAGGTGGAATAGCATTTGATAAAATTTAGTACCTATTCATGATAAAGATTAGCACACTAGGAATAAACCGTAACTTCCTTTCCCTGATAGAGTAATTACCTAAAATCTACTGCATCATCTTTATAAGTGGCAAATTATTGAAGGCTTTCCTCAAGATAAGGAATAAGAAAAGAATGTTCATTATCACCAGTGATGTTCAGCTTAGTATTGGTGGTCCCAACCAGCCCAATAAGGCAAGATAAAGTAAAAAGGTACAGAGATTGGAAAGGAAGAAATAAAACTCACTATTCAGATGACATGAGAGTATAGAAAATCTAAAATCTGTGGAAATCATTATAAAAATTAAGTGAATCTATTTAACAAATTGGCTGGATACGAGATCAGTAAATATATGTTTTATTTATATTCTCGTGACAAATAGGACATGAAATTTTTAAATGATGCTATTTACTGATTTTTTTAAATGTCAGGTGCTTAGGGGATTAGTCTAAAGACAGTGCAATATTTTGTCGTAATGATAGCCCAGTGGGACAGAATGGAGCAGAACCAAACTCACAGCATATGTTCTCCTGATTGACAACAGTAGAGTCTTGAAAGTATGATCATTTCAATAAATGACACTGGGTCAATTGAATATGCATATGGGGAAAAACTGAATCTTGACCCCCTACCTCATACCAAATGCAAAAATCAGTATAAGACAGGTTGTAGATTTAAATGTGAAAAGTAAAAATAATGAAGGTTTTAGAAGAAACACCTAACAGAGTATCTTCATGGCCTTGGGGTAGACAATGATTTTCTTAAACAGGAAACAAAAGCACTAACTATGCAGTAGAAAAGTCTATAAGTTGGGCTACATTAAAATTAAGTTTCTATTCATGAAGAGACCACTAATAAAAGAATGAAAAGTCAAAGAACGGGAATAGATAACTACAATACAAATATCTAACAAAGGACTCTTATCCAAAATGTATTATTTTTCTACGTTGTATGTATGTGTCAGAAAAAACACAGAGCCCAACAGATACTTGAGCAAAAAAGTTGAATTGGTCAATAAACATGAAGTGATTGTACCACTTTATCAATCTTCAAGGAAATGCAGATTTAAACGGTAGTATGATACCATCTGACACCCACCAGTTGATTAAAATGAAAAATAAGGAAAATAGCAAACGTACCATAACTCTCATTTAGTACTCATGGTACAACCAGTTATGAAAACTGGTATCTATTAACACTGGGCATATGTATAAACTATGACCCAGAAATCTGACTTACAGGTATTTATCACAAAGAATTGTATACATGTGTACAAAATGTAGTACTGTTCCTAATAGCTAACAATGATAACCCAAATGCCATCAACAGGGGAATATGTTCATTTTGGGAAAGTCATCTAACTGTGCACTAGTAATTAGTTTTTTTACTTTTATATTTGTACATTAAAAGAAAACTAGTGTATATGGAAAGCTATCTGCTTGTATGTTTATAACAGACATCTGGTAAGATACACAAACAATTACTTGCCTACAGGGTTTGTCTTTTGAACCAGGTGAATGTATTGCCTATTCAAAAATAAATATACATTCTGTAATGACGTTTTAGTCAATGACAAAGACTTCTTATTGTCTATGACATTATGGCCATTCTAACATGGTAGTGCAATGCATTACATGTGTTTGTGGTGATGCTGGTGTAAACAAACCTACTGAACTGCCAGCTGTATAAAAGTATAGCACATATTAAGATTGTGTACAGTACATAGTATTTTGATAAGGGTGTTACCACTTATTCTTTGTTATTTTAGAGTGTGCTTCTACTTATAAAAAGTTAACTGTAAAACAGCCAGTCAGGTCTTTCAGGAGGTATTCCCGAAGAAGGTATTGTTGTTATTAGAGATGACAACTCCCTGTGTGTTATTGCCCCTGAAGACCTTCCAGTGGGACAGTATGTGGAGGTGGAAGTGGTATTGATTACCCTGGCCCTGTGTAGACCTGGGCTGATGTATGTGTTTGTGTCTTTGTTTTTAACAAAAAAAGTTTTAAAAGAAAAAACCAACATTTAAAAAATAGAAAAACAACTGGTAGAATACAGATATAAATAAAGTATTTTTATATAGCCATACAGTGTGTTTCTCTTACTACAAAGGAGTCAAAAACTTTATAAATGGACATGTTTATAAAATTAAAAAGTTATGGTAAGCTAAGGTTAATTTATTAGAGAAATTTTTTAAAATAGTGTGACTTAAGCATACAGTCTTTATGAAGTCTACAGCAATATACAGTAATGTGCTAGGCCTTTACGTTCACTCACTACTCGGTCATTAACTCACCCAGAGCAACTTCCAGTCCTGCAAGTGTCCTATATGGGTGTACCATTTTTAATCTTTATACTGTATTTTTCTGTGTTTAGATACACAAGTACTTACAATTGTGTTATAGTTGCCTGCAGTATTTAGTACAGTAATATTCTGTACAGGTTTGCAGCCCCTGGGCAATAAAGGGATGTAGTAGACTCTACCATCTAGGTTTGTGTAAGTACACTCATGATGTGCACACAACAAAATTAATGATGCATTAAGCCGCATAAGCATCACTAAGTGACACATGACTGCACTACAGTTTATATTTATTAAAGATTATCATTTTTACAGTAAATGCTAATGGACTGGATTCTCCTAAATTCAGATACTATCAAGTTGATTAAAACACAAATCCCAATTATATATCATTTGTAAGAAACAGACTTTTAAAAAGTTGGAAATAAGTAGAGAGGCAAGGAGATCTTAAGAAAAAAATTTTTATTTTAGTGATAGGTTGGTAGTATGTGAAATGAAGTGGAATTTATCTTAACATCTAATAAACAGGTTGATGGTGGATGTTATGGTATAAGGCCCAGTTTATAAAGTAGAGGAAAAATGTGGTATAGTAGGAGAGCTAAGGAGCATAATGCCAACAGTATGCAAACAGTGTGGAAATAACCATCCTGAAGGTTTTATATTCTATGCTACAGTATCCTTTATAGCAGTTATTGAATTTTAGGATTATAACAAGTATTGTTAATTCCAATTTTATTTTTTAGGGTTTTTTGGGTCATTTATAAACAAAACAGGTTTGTGTTTAAAAATAATTTAAGTACTATGGAAGGAGTGGGAGGAGTTTAACATTAGTTGAAGTTGACCTTTCCTCTGACGTTCTCACAGTCCTGCTTATCGGGAGTAAGCACCATTAATAAGTTTATTTTGTAACCTTCTGGAATCTGTTCACACATTTGAAAAATAATATTGAAAGAAAAAACTTTTAAGTTTTGTTTTAGAATATTTTCTTGGCAGGGTGCGGTGGCTCACGCCTGTAATCCCAGCACTTTGGGAGGCCGAGGCGGGCGGATCACGAGGTCAGGAGATCGAGACCATCCTGGCTAACACAGTGAAACCCCGTCTCTACTAAAGAATACAAAAAATTAGCCCGGCGTAGTGGCGAGCGCCTATAGTCCCAGCTACTCGGGAGGCTGAGGCAGGAGAATGGCATGAACCCGGGAGGTGGAGGTTGCAGTGAGCTGAGATTGTGCCACTGCACCCCAGCCTGGGCGACAGACCAAGACTCCGTCTCAAAAAAAAAAAAAAAAAAGAATATTTTCTTTAAAATATGTAGCATTTTCAGCTTCATCATACACTTGCTTTGTATATTAAAGTCCAATGAGATTGATGTTTAATGAAGACTTTATATTGCACAGGTTTTAGAATTACTTCTTGCCTTCTGTTCAGTGACTCAGCTGCGCCATGTGCTCACTCAAATGATGTTTGAACAGTCTCCACCTGGCAGCGCCACTCTGGGAAGCCATACTAAATGTTTAGAACCTACTGTGGCTTTACTGCGCTGGTTAAGCCAGCCTTTGGACGGATCAGAAAACTGTTCTGTTTTAGCATTGGAGTTGTTCAAGGAAATATTTGAGGTAATAGTATGACTGACAGATTGACTTTTCTACTTTTGTGACTCTCAATTAACAATTTGTCTTCAAAAACATTCTCAGTAAACGTCCAGTTCATACACTTGAGGAAAATATCTCAATTACTAACAGTCATACTAGACATGCTAAGTTTTTTTCTACCAGTCATATATATTCGTGTTTTCTTTTTTTTCACTGAATAGTTTATATATATAGTGCTCATTTCAGTGTAATAAGTAAAGATATTAAAAAGATTTATATAATTTGTTGCATGACTACTTTGAATAGTTGCATTGTCTCTCCATTGCAATAGATGCCGTTGCATGGATTATTATCATTATTATTATTTATTAGGCCATTGAATGGATAATAGAGGCATATTGGATTCAGTCAGTGAAATGGAGTAGAGCATGCCAGATAATGTGCTAGGCACTTAAGATACAGACAAAACTCCACATTCTGGTAGATCTTACTATCTGGGCAATTTAGTATTCTCTACTATTCTCCGTGTTTATAAGTCCATTCTGTCTAACCCAGTATCTCCTGAAAGTATTTCCCTTCGCATAACTGGATCTTATATACAAATATGTGTATGAAGTGATTAAATATGTTCATTAAGAGTTATGCACAAAATTTTCTATTTTATCTTGGTCTTGATTATTTAACAATCAGTTTTAACATTTAAAAAGCCCTTTGAGGATCTTGATGAAAATTATTTGTGGTTATAAACTATTAAGACCAGTGTCTATTATGTAATTATTATAATTTTAGCAGATTCAGGATATTTGTTTTCAGTAAATACTTTTAGTTTAGAATAATTTTTAAATCACAAAGTCTGTTTAAGAAAGTCTTATTTGTAAAACCTTACTAATTTCAGAAAAAAGCCATAGCCCTCAAAACTGAATAAAAGTATAAATTTTAAATAAAAATTTATTCACAAGAGACTTAAGTCAATGGCATATTGAAGGAAATATTAAAAATTTAAAGAGAGTGTTAGAGTTCAATGATGGCTATTTCTGTATTGTATATTCCATTTTTGTTTTTAATCATTTGTGATGGATAATTCTCCAGGATGTCATAGATGCTGCTAACTGTTCCTCGGCTGATCGTTTTGTCACCCTTCTGCTGCCTACAATCCTTGATCAACTTCAGTTCACAGAACAAAATCTGGATGAGGCTTTAATAAGAAAAAAATGTGAAAGAATTGCCAAGGCCATTGAAGTTTTGTTAAATATCCTTTACTGTCATCAACATGAAAACTATATAACTAACCATTCTTTTTTTTCTAGTATTGCATTCACTGCATTTTGTCTTTATTTGTAATTTGTCACTTTATGCTATTTATCTAGAATTATTGAACTGAAATTTGAAGGGTAGAAAAAATTCTCAATGATTCTGAAAAAGATCCATGATTTTTTTTCCTTATTTTTCTGTGTGAAACTTTTAAGCTAAGGTACGTTTTTAAAAATGCTATTGAAGCTTTATTTTAACATTTATATCACAATTTGACATTTGGTGGTAAATTTTAAAATAACTATTCTGTTACTCCTTGTTACTGTTTTCTGCCTAATGCTAATTATTTCCCCTGGACGATTAGTAGTGCCATTTTTTTGGTGATGTGTATTCGTGGATAAGGAAATACTGATAGAGTTGTCATGATTTTAGCTCAGTTGTTTTACCTTATGTTTTCAAAATAAAGCCTTCATAATTGCTTTAATAATGGTTATACAAAAAGACAAGTATATCAACACAAATTCATTCATTTAAAAAGAAACCTTGAACTATTAGTTTCACTACTTAACTTCTAGATACTGATTTTCTAGGTCTTCCTTGTGTTTACTTTTTCATAGACCAACTAATTCTGAGTTGCTAAGAAGTCCAAGTCCCAATTTTAAAATATTTCATTAATACTTTTTTACTATGAGTATAAAGCCACTGTATCTCAACCAGATCTCTTAAATGTATCTAGTCAGGTTTCCTTGTATCTCAATGCAACAAGAATATGTTCTACTCTGTCCTAGAGCAAACTCAACCTTGTTTAATATCCTCTTCTAAGGTACTGCTCCTTAATTTTCCTCGTTTAAAGCCGTGATTCTCAACCCTGATTTCCTACGTAAAATCACCTGGAGAGCATGTTAAAAAAAAAAAAGAAAATCGATGCAGAACCTTACTTAAAGAGATTCTGATTTAAGTGGAGTGATGTGAAACCCTGAAATCATTAGGTGGTGTGTGTTTGCGTGTTGGCTTTTTTGTTTGTGATTGTTTAAACTACCCAGGTGATTCTAACATGCAGCCAAAGTTGAAAACCACTGCAGTAGGGATACATGATTGCTTGACCTTAGAGATATTTATAATTATTAAAGTGGGTCCTTCTCATTGAATTAGACCACAGCTTGGCCCTTTTTAAATAGCTGCTATTTACATTAATTTATAATATACAAATATGACAAAACAACTTCCCCTTTTTCAATAAATATTTATTGAACCACTGAGATTCTTGCTAACAAAAAACACACATCCAATGGAGAGAGATCCTCGCTGTTTTAACCATTGAGTCAGAAACTTTTGGTGCCAGTCCATCTCTTAACATTTACTACTCATTTAAATTGTGTGAGTTTCAATTTCCTTGTCTGTCATTGAGCTAATTTAACAATAATTATACTGGACAACAGTGATGATATAATTTGTGTGAAATCATCCTGAATGTTACCTTTTACACATAAAGTGAGAATTTTTTTGTTGTATGTCTTAACAAAACTTACCTCTCTGTGGAGATGATACACTAAAAATGCACATTGCAAAAATCCTGACAACTGTCAAGTGTACCACTCTTATAGAACAACAGTTTACATATGGCAAGATTGACCTGGGGTTTGGAACAAAGGTTGCAGATTCGGAATTATGGTGAGTATATAAACTCTAATGACAAAATGGCAAGGCAGTAAAAAATCAAAAGATGTGGTGATTCTCATCCTTTTGGAGGACCATCTTTTGGTTATAACTTAAGGTATAACAGATTAACAAACATATTTTCATAATGAATTTTTTGTAAATTCATTCAATTTGTAGATTATGTGCTTTTTGAAGAAATGTTAAATTTGTTGTTTTTTATTGTTTAGGTTTGTTTTGTCTTGTTTTAACTTACTGTAATTATCTAAGGGTTCTGAACATTTCTGGAGCTCCTTTTTGACATTGCCTCAGTAATTAACTATAATTTTACTTTTTTAAATGAAAAGCATGAAAAAACAGAAGGGTCTTTTTATTACAAGGAAATCAGTCACTGCTGAAGGTTTTTTAGTAACAGTCAATTCTCCTTAGCAGGTCAGGAATTATGGTTAAAGGTGGATTTTCACTGATGGTAATAAGATATTATTTTATACCCCCCCCCATGAATTAAGTCTATCTAATAAATCTTTATTGAGGACCTACTAAGTGCTAGACACTATGATTTGTTTCTGTTTCCACAAATGTCACAATTGTCACTAATTGTGCACCTTTAGAGTAAGAATTATCTGTTTTTATATGTGTATACTCCTTTCAGGTACAAAACTCAGAACATGACCTAGTATAATTCATTTATTACATATTAGATATTCTATATTGCCTAAGGTTACCATCTATTGTTGATATTCTAGTGACAAAGTTAAGAATTAAATGGACTATCTTTCAAAACTACTACTTACTTGAAACAGAAAGTTGAAGCATGTTGGTAGTAAAAGAAACACTGTCTAAACTAAGGCTGTTAATGCCAGTTTGCTCTCTTTGGGTCTTGAGTTATAAGAATGTTGATTGCTTTGAGATTTTTACTTCTCAATAGATACAGGACTTTATCATCTTGAATTTTAAAAACAAAAGTGTTGGATTTTTCATTTTCTTTAGAATTTTGGACAGAAACAAGCTTTAAGAAATTTTTCAATTATCTAATTTAAATGTGACTTATCTTTAAAGCAAACTTGCTGCTGATGTAATTTTGAAAACTCTTGATTTGATTAACAAACTTAAACCTTTGGTTCCTGGTATGGAAGTAAGCTTCTACAAAATCCTTCAGGTGAGTTTAAACTCTTCAAACATTGAAGTTTATTCATACAAAAATGGTCCTAATACAAGTTTCTTTTTTAATGTTCTTAATCTTTAGAAGATAACTCTCTGAATTGGCATTGAGAAGAAAGTTTAAAGTTGTCTTAAGCAGTTATAATAGTCTCATTGCACAGTTATTTTATATACTTTCACAGGAATTGAACATACGTGCTCATGACACTAATGTAGAGAATGTTCACAATAGTGCTGCTTCCTCAGCCTTTTCCTTTCTTGTGTTGTACATTTCTTCATTTGTTTCTGTTGGCGTTGGAGGAAGAGTGGTATTTGTTTTAGGGTTTTTGTTTTTGGTTAGGGTTGATGTAGGGTATTAAGGGGATAGGGAGACAGCTGGAAGAAAAGGACTTGATTGTGGTAATTAGAAGGGCTGTGCAGAAAATAGCTAAGTCACGAATTTCAATGATGATAGTAGCTGAATAAGATCTCTAGATGTTATCAAAAGACAAAGTACAACAAATTTAGTTCAAAGTTCTAACTGACTTTTATTTGTGATTCTAGAATTTGGCAGCCTCATTCCATAAAATAGAATGAATCATTCCCCTGGGCTAAGCAGAGAAAGTTGACTTTATAGACCCGAAAAAGGCTGAAGAAAGCACAAATAGGGAACTGAAAGCAGATTGGTCATTTCAAAGTTACTTTTCTTATAGAGTTATAATAAAGGGGAGTTCCTTATTACACTGACTCAGGTTGACTGAAATCTCCTGGTTTTTGGGAAAACTGGCCCATTTCAAAGTGCAGTTTGATTACATGGCACTCATCCAAGTGACTCCTTTCTGGTTTGGTCTGGTCTGCTAAAGCATAGTGTAGGAGACTAGTCCAAAACATTGGCCTCTTAAAAACTTTGTGTAATAATATCTACCTTGATATCTACAGCACCTACCTTTACAACAGATGTTTAATAAAAATGTGTGAATTAAGTTATTACAGTAGCTTGACAGAGATGGCTCTAGTGACTGTGTAGACAGTGTAGAAGCCAAAACTGAAACCTTAGGCAGGGACCACTCGTATGTTTTGAGAACATGTTTAAGGGACTGAGTTCAAATGTTGACTCTACTAGTTCTTAGTACAGACTTGAGTAAGTTATTTCACCTCTCTCAACTTCAATTTCCTTGACTACAAACTGGAAATAATGAGGCTTACCATTGAGGGTTTTGGAGATAAAGCTCTGTTCTTATCACAGTTCTATGATATTGGATTATGCTCAAGTACCTACAAGGTACTCAACATTTTAATTATAAGGGATTTATATTTTAATATTTTCTTCACTAATATCTCAATGTATTTTTTAAAGGAGTCAAACTGATGTTTTGTCCATTATTTAAGATGTGTTTTTCATAATACAGATTGAGCATCCCTAATTTGAAAATCTGAAATGCTCCAAAAAACAAAATGTTTTAAGTACCAAAATGAGGCTCAAAGGTAATACTCAAAAGAAATGCTTACTGAAGCATTTTGGAGTTTTGAATTAGGGATGCCCAACCAGTAAGTATATATAAATATTCTAAAATCTGAAAAAAATCAAAAATTTGAAACACTTCTGGTCGCAGACATTTTAGATATATGTTGATGATTTGGGACTTACAATACTAATGTAAAATATTTACTGACATGAATGATTGACGTAAGTATTTTTTTGTTCTTTAAATGTTCTAATTTAATTTGAATTTTACCTTTTATTTTATGGCCTTAATTTGGAAGTGATTGGCCATTTTTTTCTTTTAAATGATAGCTTGGAAAAAACATTAATTCTACACATCAGTCAGTTGTGGGTTTTTTAATCCGTGAAAATATATAAGTTATAATTTTTATAGGCACATTTGAAAGCATTCAAAACCTTTGCCAAGTTTTTTTTTTTAAACTAGTGTTCATATCGATTACATGGCAGTGTAAACAGCTTTAACAAGGTATAATATATTCAAACTATATTATAATATAGACTGTAATATATTCAAACATTAGAAACATTTTAGAATTTGCCTAGAATTAAGATTTAGATATATTTGCTCACCTCATATCTAAAAGAGCTGACATTGTCTATTCTTTCTGCCGCTTCTTTTTTGGTGTCTGATTTATTTAGGACCCACGTTTGATTACTCCTTTGGCTTTTGCTTTAACGTCAGATAATAGAGAACAAGTACAGTCTGGACTGAGAATATTATTGGAAGCTGCTCCACTACCAGATTTTCCTGCTTTAGTGTGAGTTGTAATCATTTGCATTGTTATCTCTTGTGGTGTTGGAATACCCTGCTATGTTTCTTTAGTCCTCAGTATAGATAGACAAGCAAATTAGTGAATTGAAGACTTCATTGTAATAGTAATTTTTCAAATGATTTCTAAAAATGTTTGATTCTTATAAATGAGAAGTTCAGATGTATACTCACTCAGGGAAAAGCTAGATCCAGGCAGTTAAATGTTTTTCAGGTACCATCCCTCTATGTCTCTAGCCACTTCTTCTTAATGATAACTTCTGGACACTCTAAGCTTACATCCTCCCAGTTTAGTTCCTCCATAGAAAGAGCTGTTCCTTCCCGACTGTTTAAGGAAAAGGTCTAAGCATTAGTCATTGACCAGTCCTGGGTAATCAATGAGAACGATGTGGACTAAAAGTTACTTGGGATAGGAGAATAGGAGAGTTCCTCAAGAAAAAAATCTGAGTGTTTATCAGAAAGTGGAAAAATGACTACCAGGCAAAATTTTCTACTATACTTGTTAATTTCAAGCAATAAGAGTATTTGCAATTACGCTGGAAAAAAATTCAGGTTTCAGGTCTCTCTGAACTAAATGTCTATTAGGAGTCTGGTTTAAAAACTTTTTTAAAGTCATTTATACATACAAATTTGTAAAAATGGTTTGAATAATTTGAAGCAGTTGATCAACAGATAAGATATTCCCTATATACCAGGGTCAGCAAACTGGCCAGTGGGCAGGCACCTGTTTTTGTAAATAGTTTTATTAGAATATGGCCATACCCACACATTTTTATACTCTGTCTATATTGCTTTCACTCTATAAAAGCAGAATTGAGTAATTGTAACAGAGACCAAGTAGGCTCTTGAGTCTAAAATACTTACTATTGACCTATAAGAAAAAGTGTGCTGGTCCATGCTATATGCTATTCACTGATTTAGCGATTCCACTTTTCAGAATTAGCAATTTAGGTCATCATACCTTAAGAGTTAAAGTATGGGATGTAAGACCTAGAGAACATGTAACCAAAATTCCCTTAATTTTATAATAAATTTTTTTAACAGCAACAACAAAAATACATAGGAAGCTTTTCAAGTTACAAGTTAAAAGTGGTCTGTAAAGCTGCTCTATTTTGTGATGGCCTACTTGCATAAACTGGTAATCTGACATGAAACAAAACCTCAAAAGCTTCAAAGGGGAAATTTGCAGCCTCACTGAACATGGGAGTCTTATCCTCTGCCTCTGTATGTGAGGCCTTCCCACCATTTTGTGTCTTGGCATTCCCTATCCTATTTGTGTTGTATATAACTTTTTCTTTGAGCATTATCTCAGGTGTCCATTTTATGCTTACTATTTAGTGCCCTTATTTGACATTATCTTGGGCAGTTTAATAAGCTGAATGTATATTATGGATGCATTGGTAGGTAGGATTTTTTTGTGTGTGTATTTACTTGTTTGTTTTCGAGACAGGGTCTCATTCTATCACCCAGCCTGGGGTGCAGTGGTGTGATCATGACTTACTGCAGCTTCGACCTCTGGGACTCAAGTGATACTCCCTACTTAACCCCCTGAGTAACTGGGACCACAGGCGTGTGCCACCACACCTGCCTAATGTATTTATTTTTTGTAGAGGTAGGGTCTCACCATGTTGCCCAGGCTTGTCTCGAACTCTTGGACTCAAATGATCCTCCCAAAGTGCAGGGGTTATAGGTGTGAGCCACCATGCCCAGCCTATGGTAAATTAGACTGAGTGCCTGCCATCATGCAGTTTGTACTTTAGTTAAGAGACACTTCACTATGGAGAGGATGGATGGTTAATAATAGTATTATATAGGGCATTCCCTCTGAAGAGGTGAATTTGAACTAAGATCTGATGATAAGAAGGAGCCAGCCCTGTGGAGATGTGGTAGAAAGCATGTTCCAGGTAAAGGAACAGCTCATATGAAGGCCTGGGGTAGGAGAAAGAGAGGATTTTAAAGGGCTGGAATGGAAGTCAGGTTGGTGAAAAGTATGTACTGAGTGAGAAAGGTAAAAGACTAAGGATGTAAAGGCCAGGTGATATCCCCCATGATAAGAACATTATTCTGACCAGTACCAATAACTTTGAACTTATTACAGATAATCCACACTCATAAACTAGTCTTACAATGCCTCCAAACCAGAAGTGAAACTGTCATTATAAAGGGTTAGAAACAGAAAAGTAGATGCTCTGGAAAATTTGGAATATTTCCAAAGACTTCATTTCATCATGGTCTCCAAGATTATTTGAAGATATCTATTCAAAAAAAGGACCCATTCCTAAAGATTCCCTAAGTCTACACTAAGTCTGCCTTTTTTTCTATTTTCATATATATTTTTTTCCTTTCTTTGACTCCCATTCAGACTTGGAGAAAGTATAGCAGCAAATAATGCCTATAGACAACAGGAAACAGAACATATACCCAGAAAAATGCCCTGGCAATCATCAAATCACAGTTTTCCTACATCAGTAAAGTGTTTAACTCCTCCTCATTTGAAAGATGGTGTTCCTGGATTGAATATTGAAGAATTAATAGAGAAACTTCAGTCTGGAATGGTGGTGAGTGAAAAATAGCAATTATAACCTAGTACATATTAGCTACATGTCAGCCCCTATTATAACGTGTATCTAAACACTGTTAGGTATAGATTTCACTATTGAAAACTTATTTTTTAATATAAAAAATAACAATATTTTGGAAAATTTGGAAATGAAGAAAAATCAGTCAAAATTTCAACATTTTGCTGGGTGTGGTGGCTTACATCTGTAATCCCAGCATTTTGGGAGGCCGAGGCGGGCAGATCGCCTGAGCTGAGGAGTTCAAGACCAGCCTGGGCAGTATGGCAAAACCCCGTCTCTATTAAAAATACAAAAAATTAGCTGGGCGTGGTGGCACATGCCTGTTGTCTCAGCTACTCGGCAGGCTAAGGCAGGAGAATCACTTGAACCTGGGAGGCAGAGGTTGCAGTAAGCCACGATCACACCACTTCACTCCAACCTGGGTGACAGAGTGAGACCCATCTCAAAAAAGAAAAGAGAAATATTTGTGACCTATCTGATGTAGCATTTGTTTTTATTTTGTTACTCATCATTAAGTTTTAATGATTTAGTTTTGAAATAGGCACTTATTTTGTCATTGTGTCAAAATATTTTATTAAAATTTTCTGATTTTTTTTTTTTTTTACTCTTAAAATGTAGGTGAAGGATCAGATTTGTGATGTGAGAATATCTGACATAATGGATGTATATGAAATGAAACTATCCACATTAGCTGTGAGTATAAGCTTATTTTAATGATGTATAATATGCTTTAATAGATGTATTCCTTAAATGAAAATTAATGATATGTTTTCTTGTAGTCCAAAGAAAGCAGGCTACAAGATCTTTTGGAAACAAAAGCTCTAGCCCTTGCACAGGCTGATAGACTGATTGCTCAGCATCGCTGTCAAAGAACTCAGGCTGAAACAGAGGTGTGTAGAATATGAAGACACATCTGATTTCTAGAAAAATTTAAAAAATGAAGTAAAACATGCAAAATATTAGTTATGTATTTGTTACTCTAATTGAATTACATTCTCCTTAGCATTTGACATGCCTACTTCCTTCTTCCTGAAATTCTGTCCTCTAATTTTGGTTACATCATTATCTGATTTTTTTTCCTATCTAGTATTATTTTCCTGTATTATTTATGTTGTACCTTTAAGTGTTGGGGACTCTGAAGATTTTGTTCTAAACCTTTATCCTTCAGTTTTGTGTTCTGTGGTTTCAGTGGTTACCAAAATAGTAATGTTCCTAATTTTATATGTCAAGCACAGATCATTTTCCTGAGCACCGGGTGCCTATGTTGCTCCATTTAAATATACAGCAAATACCACAAACTCAACATAACCAATAATGAACTAATCGCCCTTTCCTTTTTAGAATTATTCTTATGTATTCCCTCTGCTGTTTTTAGTGTTCTACAAATAAGAACCCTGGAAATCACACAGTTTTTACCTCCTATAATTATTCACCAAGTCCAGTTGATTTTACCTTCTAAATATTACTCTTTTCTGCCGTATCTCTGTTTCTACCACTATTTGTTACAGGCTGAATCCTTTTCATTTTTTGTATGAATCATAGCAGAGCAATTAGTCTTCCTCCCTCTAGTCTTCTACCCTCTTCTCAGCTACTCTACAGCCAGTCATCTTTCCTTGGTTATACCCCTTCACCTAGCCCCTCCTCCAGGGATCTCTAAGGCAGTAAAATGATCCTGTCCCTTTTGTGCTGAGTATCTTTCACAGTAGTTGCTATTGCTTTCAGAATATCATTAAAATTCTTTAGTTTGGCATATAAGGAATCTAACTACATAGTCCTCAATCCACATCTTTCATTTCTGCGCGTTCTTTGCAGTCAACCGTGTTAGGCTACTTTGTTTTTTCTGGAACTTGACATATTCTGGTATTTCCTCGACTTTCCTTGACTTAGCATGTCTGGAACACCTTTTCCTCTCTTCTGCCTAACTCAGAATCCTTCAGATTACAGTTAAAATACCCCCATTACCCAGAAGCCTACTCTGGTCTCCTTCCCACACATATGTTTGACAATCCTTCCTCTGTGTATCAAACCTATGCTTATCTCTCAATAACATTTTTCAAACCATGTGGAAATTCTTTTATCCCACCACTCATGGTATCAAAGACTGCTTCTATAGCTCCAGGCCCTAGCATAGCACTTGGCACGTTATAGATGCTCAGTAAATTTGGCATTCTACTATGTACATATATAATGTATACCTTAAGAGTGAACTTACTGCAGCAATATGAAATTACCAGCAGATACAAATGGAATCTATACAACTTGATATTATTTATAATGAATGAATTATAATAAAGTGTTCCTGGCTTTTGATAGATGCATCAAAATGAGTGACTAGTAAAATGACTCTTAAGTATTTTTAGAATAATGGTATTCTTTTTTTTTTCCCCGTATTTATTTCTTTTTTTCTTATTTTAACATGGTTTCATTTGTCTTAACTGGTATGTTGAATTTGTCACAAATTACAAGAAAGAACATTAGTGATATTAAAATAATTTTTCCTTCTCTTCTCATAGCACATTCTTATATTTTCTGTCTGTTGGACATGTCTTGTATTTTATTAGAGAGTTTAGTATTTTATCCATGTTACTGGAAAAGTTTCTTATAAAAATAGTACTAAATCACTGGATATAGCTTCTTTACAAAGTCAAAAACGGAGAAGGGCTTAGGGTTTTGTTTAGCATTCTAAAATAAAGTCCAAAGGGCTGGAGGGAACCGAGTTTTTTTATTCTAGTGATTTTTCTGCTTTTTTAGTGTTTCATATCACATAATAAATACAGGCAGGTTATGATATAGGTTATATTCCTTGATTATACTAGCTTAATTTTAAGTGTTTGATTAAGCATCTGTGATGTCGTTAAGATTTTGTTCTTAATTCTCACCTGAAATGAGAATGCTGATGGTGTGCACACTTAGCAGTTTAGTGTTAATGGCTACCTCTGAGGACCATATCTTTTTAATTGAATACTGTATGTAGCGCTACCTTCATGTTGCTGAAGTTGTATCCATTTCCATTAATTTGATCATAGTGAGATTGTTTTTATCAGATAATGTATTAAATAAAAAATCCTAACAGTATCCAACTTATTAGAAGTAAAGTCTTAAGTATATATGACTAATACAGCTTTGCATGACCCAATAGATACCAGCTTATTAGTTAATTAGTAAACTTTTAAATTCTAGGTATGTGTTGAGCATATGATATAGATGATGGAAAAGTCTATTTTTTGTTTTGTTTTGTTTTTGAAGGCACGGACACTTGCTAGTATGTTGAGAGAAGTTGAGAAAAAAAATGAAGAGCTTAGTGTGTTGCTGAAGGCACAACAAGTTGAATCAGAAAGAGCCCAGAGTGATATTGAGCATCTCTTTCAACATAATAGGAAGTTAGAGTCTGTGGCTGAAGAGCATGAAATACTGACAAAATCCTACATGGAACTTCTTCAGAGGTAAATAAAGTAAAATCTTCTGTGTAAGGTTAGAATCTAGAATGAACAAACAGCATTTTTTTTTTCTGAGACCCGAAAATCCTTTTGTAAGCATTTCATGTATTCTGATAACACCTAAGGTAAGTAATTAGCAAGAAACTTAAGTCATTATGAAATGAAGTGTTGCTTCCTCAAACTCAGTATCAATGTTGGAAACAAAATACAGGTCTTTCCAGTTGACTTTTATGTATTCATACAGTCAGCAGTCATTTGGGAGATAAGCTCCACAAGGACAAGTTTGTCTGTTTTGATCACTGACAAATCCCTAGGGCCTGCAGGAGTGCTTGCTGCATAGTTAGGCACTTCATTAATAATTTTTAAATAAACTTAGTTGTCAAATTAGTATTAGGTTGAATGGTCATTTCTGCAGATCAAAAGTAGCTGAATATTGGCAATTTCATATCATTCAGCCTAATAGAATGGAAATCTAGGTGTGTTTAACTCATCTCTTAATGTCATTAATTATAGTTTACTTAATATGTGTGATTATATCTGTAGAATAAGTTTACATAGGTGAATTGCTAAGTTAAAGGGTATGTATATTTAATGTTTTGATAGATATTTTTAAATTTTCCTCCAAAATGTGATACAGATTGAGTATCCTTTTTGAACACAGTGGTAGCACTCAAAAAGTTTAATATTTTGGAGTACTGTTGATTTTAGACTGATTTTGGATTTTCAAATTAGTGTTGCTCAGCCTGTACCAATTTGTGTGCCTGCTAACAAAGTGTGATTGGTTTTCCCTCCCTTATAAACTCTTATCTTTTTACGCCAATTGTAAAACTTCTGAATTACAGGGAAGACCAGGAAAAATTATGTATTTTCTACCAACCAATAAAAGTAAAAGCACTCTGGGGGAACTTGTTTATTACTTTATATTTTAAGATTGTTCTATGCTGTTAATACAGAGATACAGAAATTTTTAGCTTGGCATGGTACATATGCTTATTTGCCCATCAATAATAATGAAGGGTGAGAAATGAATAGTATCTAGAAAATGATGACAAAGTAATTTTTTAGCAGGATATTTTCCCTAGCAACTTTTTACAAAGTATGATTGTTTGAGGCACCACTGATAAAGTGTGGTATTAGCAATAAGCCAGGTTGAGAACTTCAGCAGTGAAGAAAATACGTTATAGAACTGAAATGGGGTCCGTTTGCTCAATACAGTAAAACCAGGTGTCTGCACCAAGGTTTGCAGTGATGGAACAAAAGGCTTTTATTGCAGGGTGCCAAGCAAGGAGGATCAGGCAGCCAAATGCTCAAATCTTGACTGCCCCCCAGTAGCTTGCAGGCAAGGATTTTTAAAGACAGGAGTAAATTTCAGGAAAGTGGAAGTTACAGGCAAAAATCATAAATCAATAAAGGTTACACATTGGTTTAAGTTTAAAGGAGAGGACATTGTGGAGCAGGGGCTTACACGTAATGGGTAGACCCAAAGATTTTTCGATTTGCAGTTGGTTAAGGAAGAGCAGCTTTGTTTAAAAATTTAGGGTCAGTAGAAAAATGTGAACTAGCTAGGGAGAGTGACTTTGTTCAAGACCCTGAGAAAGAAACTTAGAACAAAGAACAGTGGTTAAAATTCAGCCTTAATTTCCCCCTTATCTGAGGTCTACTTGTCAATGGATCTGGTCACTGGGGTTCCTCAGTGAGGGCCCGGGTCTCTGAAATACAACTCAGGGACATGTGTTAAGTTGTTTTCTTCAAGTTCTATAAAGAATCAAGTCTCTCTGGTACTCTTTAAGTTTGTTAACTATTGATTTAGGCTACTATTACCTTCCTGTTTAACAAGTTACTTATTTACTTCTAGGACTAGCTAGGTCCCTGGAATTTCCCTTGAATGAACTCAGGATTTTCCTTTATTTTCCAGCTTGAGGTCCTCAGACCTCCTAAAAAGGGGGTCCCTGCTATGTCTCACATAGAGAACGTAAGACATAGGCAGGGTCCAAGAAAAATATGTGGTTTCTAAGACCTGCTTTTGTTCCAGCTAGTGATTTAGGGGCCAGAAGGTGAAATTCCTTGAATGGACAAATGGATAACATGTAAATGAAGCTGGCTGGGGAAAAGGTCATTTGTAATGGTCAGGACTGTCTAAAGGTACTCAAACTCAGATTGTTGAAATTTCTGTATGGATTAGATACAAAAACTGCTAGCCAAATTTGGCTACTGGTTTTTTTTGTTTGTTTTGGTTTGGTTTTTGGGTTGCTTTTTTAAAATCTTTGTACTTAGTGAAATAAAAAGGACATTTTATGCTTATGGTAGTTGAGTATCAAAGTATCACTTTAGAAAGGATTTTTTTCTGTGTTTACTTTGCAGATAAAATAAATAGGACTATTAGATGCAGAGTTTTAAAGAGACAAATGTAGAACCCTAAACTTATTTATAGCAAATTATGTAATGCAATATCATCTGTAAAATAAGGCTTTATATCCATAAATATGAGATTAATGCCCCACACATATCTGTCTCATAGTAATTTTTACTACATCTGTCAACCAAAACATGTATTTACTGCCTTTTAGAGTTGATCAAATTCTGTTTATGTCCTGCTTGTTCATAACATTCCTTCTCTTCTAGCATATGAAATTTGGTTAGAAGAGATAGTAAAGAAAACACTATTGAGTTTCTTTTCTCCTTCATATGTTTTCCTCCATAATGATGCCAACTCATTTTCTTGTCTTTTCAGAAATGAAAGTACTGAAAAGAAGAATAAAGATTTACAGATCACATGTGATTCTTTGAATAAACACATTGAGACAGTGAAAAAGTTGAATGAGTCACTCAAGGAACAAAATGAAAAGTAAAATCTCTAGTTCTGGATTCTGAATATGTGGGATTTTTCAAAACCAAAATGATTCTCTTTATATAGAATATTGTTTTTTATTGATAAAATTAATAGAATTGTCACTTATTTTAGATATAAGATATATATTTGGTGGAATTCACAGGCAATTGCTGTTCTTAGAAATTGTTTTAAATGCCGAGCGTGATGGCTCACGCCTGTAATCCCAACACTTTGGGAGGCTGAGGTAGGTGAAGCACATGAGGTCAGGAGTTTGAGACCAGCCTGGCCAACATGGTGAAACTCTGTCTCTACTGAAAATACAAAAATTAGCTGGGTGTTGTGGTGGGTGTCTGTAATCTCAGCTACCCAGGAGGCTGAGGCAGGAGAATCACTTGAACCCGGGAGGCAGAGGTTGCAGTGAGCACAAGATCATGCCACTGCACTCCAGCCTGGGTGACAGAGTGAGACCTTCCTTTTTTTTTTTTGTATTTTTAGTAGAGATGGGTTTTCACCATGTCAGCCAGGATGGTCTCGATCTCCTGACCTTGTGATCTGCCCACCTTGGCCTCCCAAAGTGCTTGTTAGGGGAAAAAAGTTACAAATGGCATATGGTTCATTAATGTTTTCTTCCATTTTTTTATAACTTCAGAAGTATTGCCCAATTAATAGAGAAAGAAGAACAGAGAAAAGAAGTACAGAATCAGCTAGTAGACAGAGAACATAAGCTAGCAAGTAAGTGGCTTCTTATTTAATACATTGTCTATTCTTAATGTATTTGTTTTGGAAGCATGAGTGGTTTTGTTTGCTTTTTTATTTTCTACTTCCCTTATTGTTTTAAACCTTAAATCACATTTGAAATGGCTTCCCTTTTCTTGACATAATGTTTCACAAAAGCAGTTCAGTTTGATCAAGCTGAAAAAGCAGTACATTTTTTAAATTTAGGAACTGTAAGAAATTGGCCAGGCACAGTGTCTCACTTCTGTAATCCCAGCACTTTGGAAGACAGAGATGGGTAGATTTCTTGAGCTCAGGATTTGAGACCAGCCTGAGCAACATGGTGAAACCCCATCTCTACAAAAAATACAAAAATCTAGCCAGGTGTGGTAGTGTGTACCTGTAGTTCCAGCTACTCATGAGGCTAAAGTGAGTTGGAGAATCACTTGAACCTGGGATATCAAGGCTGCAGTGAGCTATGTTCATGCCACTGCACTCCAACCTGGGTGACAAAGCAGGACTGTCTCAAAGAAAAAAAGGAAAGAGATGATTGCCCATTTCATTTAATTTAGTTTTTTTATAATTTCAACTTTTAGAATCAAGGGGCACGTGTGCAGGTCTGTTACATTGGGTATATTGCATGACACGGAGGTTTGGGGTATGGATCTCATCACCCAGGTAGTGAGTATAGTACCAAATAGGTAACAATAGGTAATTTTCGACCCCCTGCCAACTCTAGTCTGCAGTATATATTAGTTCCATCTTTATGTCTATGTGTACTCAATGTTTAGTTCCCACTTAGAAGTGAAAACTTGGAGTATTTGGTTTTCTGTTCCTTCGTTAAATGATTTAGGATTATGGATTGCCCTTTTCAAAATAAAAAAAAGTTTAAGGCACATAACAGCAGGTGGCAGTATTAGGTAACTTTTAGTTACTAGCTTCTTAATGGTATATTTGAAATAATCCAGAAAAACATTTTTGTTCTCACTTGCCTTAGAGCGCAGGCATCTACCTATATAATTTTTCATAGTTGTAGCTCTCCCTTTTCTAACCCTTACACTCTGAGGATTGTCCTTCACCTATATAGCATGTTATATTTAGAATAGAGGATGGAAGAAAGACATGGAGATTTGGTATTTTCTATAGAATACTGTCATAAAAAAGAAGTTTCTCTTCATTGTTCTAGTTATTTTTCTTTTGCTCTTATAGTAGCTACTAAACCATTTCAGAGTAGTCAGTGTAAGACCTCTGTGTATATACTTGACTTTTTTTTTTAAGATTTGCATCAGAAAACAAAAGTACAAGAAGAAAAGATTAAAACCTTACAAAAGGAAAGGGAAGATAAGGAAGAAACCATTGATATCCTTAGAAAAGAATTAAGCAGAACAGAACAGATAAGAAAAGAGCTGAGCATTAAGGTAAGAATCTATTCCATTTCTCATTTGCAGTAAAATGAAAAAGTCTGTTGTGAAAAGGGTAAATATGGATAAATGAATGTACTGTTTCTTCAGCAAATTTTTTAGAAGATATTAGGATATCAAAGCAGCTTGAGTATCATTTGTTACGAGGTTTTCATAATGTATTTTCTAAAATAGTTAAGCAGTTATTAAACAGATACTTTGTGTCAGCACTTACTATTTTCAAGTGTGCAAAGAATACAGAAAGGGGTTACCAGTACTTGATGTCATACATAGGTAGCTGTATAATTTTCACTCTAACAAATATTATATAATATGTTAATAAATATTTTCAACTTACAACTGAAGAAACTGAGTCTGAGGTTACTTACTAAAGTCACACAGCTAATATGTGAATCAACAGATAAATATTCTGAATCTGAGTCCAGGGTTCTTTCTATATTACCATGGTTGCATAGCTTGAGTGGTAGCTATGAATGTACTTTCTGACCTGTTTACTACCAGAAAGATGAGAACAGACTAGGATTGAAAGACTGATCTACTACTACTACTGAGTAATGGAAGAGGCATAAAATTTAGTATCACATTTACAGTTTTTCTGGTTCTGCTTTAATGTAATTATCTTATTAGTAATTTTAATATGTAGTGTGTAGTATTTTCTGCAAAATTTCAGCTGCTGGCATTAACTTAAGACAAGTTGAAAGTGTTCTCAATTTGTATTATAAATTTTAATGTTTAATGATTTTTCGTTTTAAACCACCATATAATTGAATAAACTGAAGTATAATATTTATAGTATTTCTTGAAATGGCTGTTGTACAAATAAAAAAATAGAAGCATCTTAAAGTATATGTATAGAGAAAACATTAAAGTTATTTTTCTTCTCAATTATTCCTCCTCCCCCAACCCCAATTCCTTAGGCTTCCTCCCTAGAGGTTCAAAAGGCACAATTAGAAGGTCGTTTGGAAGAGAAAGAGTCTTTGGTGAAACTTCAGCAAGAGGAATTGAACAAACACTCCCACATGATAGCAATGATCCACAGTTTAAGTGGTGGAAAAATAAATCCAGAAACTGTGAATCTCAGTATATAGACATTATGGCATTTTGGAATTTGTAATCTAATGATATTTTTGATGTATTTATCTATTGGAGGGGGTGGGTAGGGGAGTTAATTTGTGACTTCACAACAATAAGTTATCTAATTTAGTAAAGTCCCTGATCTGATGCATGTTTTTTATTTGATAGTTTGAATAGAAATTTAAATTTTTAAGTTTTGCTTTTTGTTTCTGGCTTTTATTGCTTAAGGCTTTCTTTGGTTCTTACATTAGAAAATCATTTTTAACCTTCATTATCATTTTTCTAAGGTTCTTTCCTTTTTCTTAGTTGCTTTCTATTCTGTGTTGCCTGTCTTATTTGTTGTCATTTGTGATTATTTAGATCTTAAGACCAAACTTTCTTGATCTAACAATCCTAAAGATTACAAAATAAAAATATAAAGGGAGTAAAAGTAAAAAGTACAGTTGAAAGAGAGAAGGTATGATAATGCTAGAGAAGTTTTTCTTTGAAGAAGCAGAGAAGAGAATATTAGTGAATTTAAAATAATTTTTATTATTGCATTTAAAATGCAGTAACGTGGCATAATTTCTAAATTTGAAAAAAATGCAATGGTAATAAAATGTATAAAAATTAGAAAACTGTTATTGTGTTAAACTATTACATTTAAATGATTACATTTAACACAATAGCTGTCTCATAAAAAAAATCTAATAACTTGTAGAAGTTTTTTGTAAGGTATATTTAGTGGTTTTTTCCTCTTTTTTCAAATGTTGCATAGTGGTCCAGATCATCTATTATTAATTATAAGTTTCTTATGATTTACGTAAAGATAATTTGGATTCTACTCTTGCTGCATATTCAGAAAAATATTATTTACTATTAATTCTGGTATGAATTGTATTTAATGTGTTGTCTTAAATAGTTTTTAATTGGTTCATTTAATTTAAAAGCATAGGTTAAATACCTTTATGGTTTTTGTTAAATACAAGGGTCCTTCTGTACTTTTTCTTTGAATTATATGCTCTAACTGCTGTGTCAGAAAAGTTTTTACATCAATATTTTGATTGATTTTATTGCTATACCATTACAGTCATTAATTTTAGTTGGTGTTTTCTTCACCATATCTCTCTTTGATTTAAGTGAATTTAGATTTGTGCAGTTCTGGAAATTTTTTAAAAGGTATTATGCAGAGTAAAACTTTTTAAATTACTATTTGTTCTATAGAGGAGGTACATTCTGTTTCTCTTTTGAAATCGCATGCATTTTCAATCAAATACGAAAAAGTTTAAGTGGATAGATAAGACTGAAGAATAAAAGGTTCTATAAAATAAAAGGGACAAAACGTTAAAGAAATAAATGAATGAATGAACCAAAAACTCTGGGGAAAATCAATCTATCTTTACAATTCAGACATCTTGAGACAGCCTAGCCTAGTGCTGCCCTATACAATTTTCTGTGATGGCAGTGTTCTGTGATGTCCGATACCATAGCCAGTGGCTACAAGTGGCCATTGAGCGCTTGAAATGTGGCCTATGCAACTGAAAAAGCTAAATTTTTAATTTTATTAAATTTAATTTTGATAACCATCCTATTAGATAATACAGATCTATCCCATTCTCACAAGTATGTGTTTAAAGAACTCAGTTTGCCTTTTCTTAACGATCTATATAATTACCCCATATATATATTATAGCCATTTTTTAATGTAATTTTAACCTGTTTATTTCTAATCTTCTCTCCCTAAAGAGGAAAGTCCATACTGCAGCTTTGAAAGTGAGTACTAATCATCACCCTTCATCTCTTTCTGTCTCTTGTAACACCTTTCATATTGTTTCTATTGTTTTTCTGAGTGCCTTTACTATATCACTTACTTTTGTTTTCTTGTTGGACTGTGTACCTCATTTAAAAAGCAAAAGTGTGTGTAAATATTTTTTTCTAAAAAAAAAATTTAATCAAATTTGAACCACCACCATAGTCAGGGTTTTGTGTGTGTGTATGCATGTCCATTTCCTGATGGAAAAAACAAAACTTACGAAGTGCATCATTATATTAGGATTACTCACATCCTCTTAAAATTTTGCTGGGGAGAGTTTGTCTCCAAAGTATACATTAACACAGTTTCTTTTACTATTTACACTTGCCACTTGAACAAATAGACACGTCTCATAAACTTTGGTTGGTTGAAGTTTATATTAAATTGTTCATTAATTTAATGTCAGGACAAAAGGAAAATAATGAAACTGTGTGCTCTGTCTTAGGAAATTATCAGGTCAGTGTCCCTTTGGGTCTATTTACTTAAAAGGACTAGTTATTTAAGAATAAAGAGAGATTCTGTCATGAGTTAGGACTGTTATTTAAATGAAAATATGTTTAAATTTCTACTTCTTACGTGTCGTCATTCATTCATACATTATAGGTACTTATCAAGTTATATTCCCTAAAACTCAGTCTTAGTATAATTTGATTCTTTTCCTCCTTTCAAATAGTTATGAACTAGATTTAGAACTTTGCTTTTGGCATATATACCATTGTACTTAGCCATGTGTCCTGTTTGTGACTTAATCCTTTGCAAGAGTTAGCAAACATTTTCTGTAAAGGGGCAGACAGTAAATATTTTAGGCTTTATGGGACATAGTTCTTTCACAACAACTCAACTCTGCTATTGCAGCACAAAAGCAGCCACAGACAATACATAAATTAATAGTCATGGCTGTGTTCCAGTCAAACTTTAGTAACGAAACTAGTCAAAACTTTGCTATTAGATGTTATATTTACTTATTAAGAAATGTCTTTTTATGTTTGGTAATCTTTACCTTGAGGTCTATTTTATTTGATAATAACATAGCCACTTAGTTCTTATTGTGTTTTCTGTTGGCCTGATATATCTTTTTCTATCAGTTTACTTTTAACCTGTATGTTTATGTGTAAAATTCATGACTTGTAAACAAATAGAGTTAGGTTTTGCTTTTTTATCAATTTTGACAAAATAAGTCCTTTAACAATCCACTTAGAGTTAATATTGTACTGCTTAACATAAAATGTAGAAACCTTGCAACTATATAGGTCCTTCTGTCCTCTTCTCATCCTTCATGCTGTAGTTGACATGTGCATTACCTCTACTTATGTAGCTAACCCTCAAAACCATGTGATAATTTTTGCTTTAAGCAATTATATGGAAAGACTCTGGCTGTCAACATCAATATGTTCACTTCTTTGCATGCACCAATGTAAAGTAGTTTCTTCAGGGTCTTTGCCTTTGGAAATAGTAAGTAGTTTGTGGGCAGATACTGCATATATGCTGTTTCTCTTCCAACTTGCATCTGCTAGTTTTAGTATTCTTGGTAATTCTTACTTGAATCAGTAATTTATTTGATGGTTGGTTGCCAAGTGAATATTTTCCTACTTTGTAAAGGTAGAAAATTGAACATTTTGGTAATGTTATAATGTATTGAAAATAGCAATCTACATGACATCACTCATATCATTCACAAAATTAAAATATAGTACTTAGAGTTTTTCATTTAATACAGCATGTACTTTTTGTGCATATTCTTACAAGCAAAGCATGTCAGATTTGCTTTCTATAGTTTAAGAAAATGAATAGGCATGTTAAGCATATTGATTTTTTTTAACTATAAGACCTTTTGATATTTTTCTACCCAAACCCCCTAATTTGAGAATTACTTATTTAAATCATGACATTAGATTCAGTTGGGTCATCCCTTTACCCCTTTACCTTGGCTCTCAGTGATTACCAATAAATATTAAATGAGTATTACCCATAATAAAGTATTTTGGATTAAGAAAATAATTGTACATTTCCAGCTTTCACTGAGTTTACGTTCTAGATAATTAACTTTTAAAAATTAAAACTTGGTCACTGCTCATGCCTGTAGTCATAATTTTGAAAGCGTAGGCAGACAGATATTTGAGGCAGGGGTTCCAGACCAGCCTGGGCAACAAAGTGACACCCATGTCTCCACAAAAGATAAAAAAAAATTAGCTAGGTGTGGTAACATGTCCCAGTGTAGTGAGCTGTGATTGCACCACTGTACCCCAGACTTTTTATATATATATGTGTGTGGGGGGGGGGTGTGTGTGTGTGTGTATAGCCTATTTAATGCAGATGTTTCATTGATTTTTTTATAATGTGAATAATGAGCCTGATAAGTCCTTGAAATTATATGCCTCTGTACTCCATAAATTGAGAGGGAACATTGTGAACTCAAAAAATCATGGTTTATTTTCAACATGCAAATCACTTTGAAACCTTATACAGTCTCACTCAGTTAAGCATTTTGCAGTGAATTGACTTTCTTCCCTGTCATCAGAGACCTCTGTGAGTTTTGTTTCGTTTATGCTTGTGTTCATTTAAACATTTCAGAACTACCGCAGAAAAAACTTAATTATCACATAACTAGGAATAAGAGTTATAACTCTTAAAACCCAGTTTTTTTTGCACATTGAGCTACAAGTATCCCTTCATAAATGCAAGAAGGAGTAAGTCTTTTCCTTCCAACTAAATATAACATTTTAGTTGTCTACTTCCTAAGGACCCAGTATCTATATTCTCTCGATATCTCAAAATATGATGGATAATCCCAGGATACATGCAAAGGACTTTTTACATGCTGTCCACTACTACATTAGAGAGTGACATTTTCAAAGTCAACAGAGTGGATTGGCTTTCACTTTCATTATGTTATTAAAAACTAATTTTCCAGTAAGTAGCTGAGCATTTGGCAGGGATTTAGTAATGAACATGATTTTGCCTCTCCATTACATTATCTTCACTGTTATTCTAAGTATTATATTTCATCTCACTTATCTCAAAGAGCCAAAAGATATAATGTATTAGAGTAGCCGTATGCTTTTCTCAAACCTCAAATAAAAAGGCTTATGATTAACCCTAGCAAAAGACAACGCAACTGTTCATCTTCGATTAGGCGGGGTTTTCATTGTAACTGAAAGTAAAGGCTATCAACTACTACATACTAATTTATGTAATACCCACAGTTAATAATCAGCATTTTAGAGCTGAGAGAATTCTGAAAGAACAGTGAGCCCAAGCCCTTGTGTGTAAAAAAGATGTGAAAAAGATGCATTCTCAGAAAAGAGGTCCCATGATTCAAACACAAACTGATACGGCTTTTAAATTAGTATGTGTTGTTATGGAACACACAGAAGCTTCACTTCTAGCAATTTAGCTGAAAAAAAAATAAGGTTATGCACTAAGATTTATGAACAGTAATATGGCACAAAATTGGAAACAATTTATACCATAATAGATTGGTTAATCAGTATAAGGTACAGTCATGTAGTAAAATAATAAGCATCCTTTTTGAAAAGTTACTGAAATATATAGTAAGTATTGGGAAGAGATTTTCGGTGTGTTAATTGAAAAAAAGTAAGCCAAACTATTTGTAAACAGTGATTCAGATACCTGAGTATTTTTAAGATTTATGTGTGTGTGTGTATATATATGTATATGTGTATTAGAAACAGTGAACAGTGGTAACCTCTGCATAATGAAATTATAATTGACTTTTTTGGTTTCTAAAAGTACAATGTTACTTTAACTTTTTAAAACCATATTTTAAAACATTGGTTTGGTAACCACATCTAGATTTGACTTCTGGCTCTACCTAAGGAAAGTTTTTATTTAATGTTTTATTCTTCTGTAAAATGAGAATAATACATACTTACTAGAAAAAATATGTTAAAAAAATACAAATAAAGCTCATGGCTTTTAGTAGATTTTCAATAATGGTTTATCTCCCTTTTGGAGAAGGAATGAAGTAAAAACTGTTATGTTCTTTATCCTTGGTTTCCTCTTTCTCTTCATCAGACATTTGGCCAATTGAGAAAGTAAAATGAACGGTAAAGATTCTCTGCTCTTTTCAAGAGTGGTAGAGGATGGAGAGATTAGGAGTTAAATCTTTAAATTATTGTCTACACCAAGAGTAACAGTTTTATTGAGTAGACTAGTCTGGGTTGCTCAGACTAATTTATTTATATTATAAGTATCAATTATAAGCACTGTTAAATTAACATCTCTTTTTGAAAGAAGCATTTTTCATACTTCAAATTAGCCTTCTCTGGGATATCGTAGTATTTTCTAATTAATGACTGTACCTACAAAATTCATTGTGAGGTTGTATATTGTTACTTCTTTAATTTCCTGGAGGGAGATTATGAGGAAAAGATGTAGTTGAGAAAAGTTTGCCAAATTTTAGTAGTAAAACAATATGTCTAGGACTTGGATCCCATTATGTTCCCAGCTCTTTTGACAGATTTAAAAGTTTTCCTAATCTATGTTAGTATTTCTATTTAGAAATATCATTTTTGTAGTAGCCTCTTTTTTAAAGTCCAAAGACATTTAGTGTTATCTACCTCAAAGTGAAGATGTATAGGTTGTGTTTACAGAGATAATGAAAATACAAACCTTTAATTGTAATATCAAGAAAGGGTTAAAAGGATGTTGGGAATTTATACAGAATCCAGAGGAGAGAGAACTCGATAATAAATGTTTGAAGCTGACTGTGTAAAAACACTTTGAGAGAAAAATAAGCAAGGTCACCCTGAACCATTTAGTCTGAATGACATTTCATGCAAATACCCTTCAGATTAGACTGACTGAAGCCATGACTTGAATTGCTGCTGTCCTTGAGCTGCTGAATAAGAGACTTGGATTATTGATGTTGTAGGTTGATCCAAGGAGCATGTTTTGTTTGCCGTGTTTCCTGGGTGGATATGATCCACCCAACTTATGATCATACTGCTAATATTTTCAGAGGCTATGTTTCTTTGTCAGGTTAATTCTGTGGTCATTACATACTAATCAAATTTATTTCTTTATGCCTCTTTTAAATCTTTCCCATTCTACAAACAATAGTATCACCTTAATTTTACCAACTATAAGTGTGATTCTCTATTTAGGAAAGTGGGGGGCCAGAGGAGAGTAAGAGATAGAATATGAGCACATGGTACAAAATTCAAAAATTAAAAGATCCATGGACCTTGTTTAACATGCAGAGAACTTGTCTCCCACTCTCTCAAGAAAAAAACTACACAAACTGAAAAATCAGTGGCTTCTTTTAGATCCACCAGAGAATTGAGGTCACAGGACAAATCATCATTCTGGAAACAGTAGAGAATACAGTTGAGTATGGATCAACTTATCTGAAGGCCTGGTAGGAACACTTAAACTGTAATTTTGTTGAATTACTAGAGGCCATGTGAACTAGCTTGGGAATTTAAAACTCTAGAGAGCCTTTCCAGCCAACCGTTCTCCTTTGGAAGAGGACTATATGCAGCTATGGCACCCTGCCAGAATGGCATGATCCTGATGCCTCACTTCCACAAGGAGTAGCAGTAGCTGTTCAGTTCAACCAGCTGATCCAAAAGATCCACAGATGCAAGGCCCAAGAAGCAAAAGCACACCACCATTGCCTATCACCCTGCATCTGGACCCATCTAACCCATAGTAAGATGTCCCACAGGGAGGTATCACACCAAAGTATGAGCTAGCAGAAGCTTCAGCTTAGAAGAGTTAGGGTGGCCAGCATCCACATGGTGACCCAGACCTTTGGTATCTGTGGATCCAAGGAGACATTAGAACAAGTCCAGTGAGTCCCCAAAAGCCAGCAGCTCCAGTTGAAGGAGTGCTACTACAAGCTCATCCTCTTCCCAAGGAAGCCCTTGGACCCCATGAAGGAAGACAGCTCTGCTGAACTCAAATTGGCCACCCAGCTAACAGGACCAGTAATGTGCATGCCATTGTCTTCAAGGAGAAAAAGTTATCACCAAGGAGATGAACCTCAAGGCGTTTGTTAGTCTTGCACGGCCTGTGCCAGTGCCCAGCTTCTGGGCATCCAAGCAAAAAGGGCCAAGGAAGCTTCAGAACAGGGTGTTGAAAAAAAATAATAAAACACTTTTGGGGACTTGTAATAAATCAGCAGTACAAATAAGATTCGTGGCCCCTCCTACCACACACACATTTTCATGCTTTCTCAGGCTTTACTGCTGGGAGCCCCACTAGATTCTCACAGTTGAAGATCAGAGAACTCTCCCCTCATGTTTGACCAAGGGGAGGAAGAAATTTTGAAAATAACCCACAGCATTCTCCTACCCAAAAAGAGGAAAAACTTTACTGTTACCAGTGTTGTGGGGGATGGAAATGTTCTGAACCAATCCGTTCTAGTCTTTAAGGCTCGTCTAAGGGACAAAAAAAAAAAATGCTGAGAAGCACTTGTAAAGGTTAGAACTCAGGGGTGGAGCATAGGCCTGCTAAATGAGATTGACCATCACTACTTATCCTGGGGATATTAAAAGGACAAAAAAGGAATATTCTCAACAACTCTGTGCCCACATATTTGATAATGTAAGCGTAATGGACCAATTTCTTGAAAGACCACAAAAGTTCATACAAGGAGAAATAGATAAGCTGAATAGACCCGTATCTGTTAGTGAAATTGATTCAGCAATAACCTTATTCTTATTTTTATTTTTATTTATTTATTTATTTATTTATTTTTTGAGATGGAGCCTCACTCTTGCCCAGGCTGGAGTGCAGTGGCGCCATCTTGGCTCCCTGCAAGCTCCGCCTCCCAGGTTCACGCCATTCTCCTGCCCCAGCCTCCCGAGTAGCTGGGACTACAGGCGCCCGCCACCACGCCTGGCTAATTTTTTGTAGTTTTAGTAGAGACGGGGTTTCGCCATGTTAGCCAGGATGGTCTCGATCTCCTGACCTCGTGATTCACCTGCCTCAACCTCCCAAAGTGCTGGGATTACAGGTGTGAGCCACGGCTCCCAGCCTGATTCAGTAATCACCTTTCAAAACAGCACCAGGCTCAGATAATTTCACCAGTGGGTTCTGTGACACACTTTTTAAAGAGAGAAATGATGCAAATTCTACAATCTTGTCTAGATAGTAAAAACTGGTTTTGTATAGATGCAGAACACCTAAACAAAATATTAGCAGATTAATTGCAAAAGGGTATAAGAAATTATACACCACAACCAATTGTGATTTAATGGATAAACTTATATCCACACAATAGAATATTATTCAGTGCTGGGATTGCTGAGGTATTTCTGCCTCTAGGTCTTTGAGGAATCACCACACTGTCTTCCACAATGGTGAACTAATTCACACTCCCAGCAACAGTGTAAAAGCATTCCCTTTTTTTTGTGCAACCTTGCCAGCATCTGTTGTTTCTGGACTTTTAAATTATCACCATTTTGACTGGTGTGAGACAGTATCTCGTCGTGGTTTTGATTTGCTTTTCTCTGATTAATGATGTTAAGCTTGTTTTCATATGTCTGTTGACCTCATGAATGTTTTCTTTTGAGAGCTGTTTGTTCATGTCCTTTGCCTACTTTTTATTG